TGTGTTGTCTTACTTTCTTGATGGGGTCCAACTTAACCAATCTTCTCTTTTATTGCTTGTGCTTCTGGTGTCTTATCAAGAAACCATTACCTAACCCAGCATCATGAAAATTACTTGTTTTCTTCTAAGGGTTTTTATAGTTTTGCTCTCAAATTTAGGTCAGTGATCCACTCTAATTTTTGCAATTGATGTGAGGTGTAGGGGTCCAAATTCATTCTTCTGCATGTGGACAATCTGGGTTGTTCCAATAACATTTATTGAAAAGGCTCTTCTTTCCCCCAGTGAATTTTATTGGCCCTTTTGTCCATAAATTAAGGGTTTATTCCTGGACTCTCTATTCCATTGTCTTTATGCCATTACCACCCTGTCTTGATTACTGTAGCTTAATTGATTCTTAGCCCCTGTTGTTTCACTTTTTACCTTTTGGGTTCTGTTAATTCCCCACCTTCACCCAGCCTGGCAGCATTTAAATATTATCACAAATTCTGTATCTTCATCTGAGCCTGCATGAATAAACACCAGGAGTTAGAATATAAATGCTACAGATTTCCATTTGTTTTATTCCTCACACTATACATTTATCAGGGGCAAGAATATTTTTAGGTTCACAGATTTGTTACTGATTGTTTCTAAAATTCTCTTTTCTAATTGTAGGAGAACAGTCATCCTAATATGCCACCAGATGGTCTCTCTCTAAAATCTGTGTCCAGTATAAATATTGATCAGCTTAGAATGAAAAATGAGGAACGGATGCGAAGACTGAATGAACTTCAGAATAAACCGATTAATACAGGTAAATGGCCAGTCTTAATGCTTAATGGAGTATTATCTGTAAGAACTCAAACCTGTTTACAGGGAAATTTTCACTGTTGGCTCGGGGCAGGGATAGGTGGGTTGGAGAGAGATGGAATGAATTTTGAAATCCCTTTGAGTTGTAAGGCCTAGAACCATAGACACTATCCAGGAAAACTTGGGACTCGGGATCAACTTTGCATCAGATTCTACCAGAGGGTATGCTTTTTTGAGTGGATTCTTTTTTTAAAGATTTTATTTGTCAAGAGAGAGCGAGCACAAGCAGGGGGAGGGGCAGGCAGAGGGAGAAGCAGCTCCTCACTGAGCAAGGAGCCTGATGCAGGACTCGATCCCAGGACCCCGGGATCGTGACCTGAGCCGCAGGCAGACGCTTAACCGACTGAGCCACCCAGGCATCCCTTGAGTGGATTCTAAACAGATGAAATTTTTATTAAATATATCCAGCCTTTCTTTGCTTTGAGCAGGGAAAATGCTGGCTAGTATCAGCATCTCATTCCCCTTACTGAAGTGAGAAATTAACTTGACAACTTTTGAGTTCTTTAGGTAACACATCTATTATGAATTTATAGTACTACAAAGGACTTTTTTTTTTGCTTTTTTGCTTGGCTTTCAATGCCACAGACAAAACAAGTAGCCTCAGGTTAATGTTTCTTTTTAGAAGCCAGTGGGGCGCCTGGGTGGCTCAGTCGGTTAAGCGTCTGCCTTCGGCTCAGATACTGATTCCAGGGTCCTGGGGTCGAGCCCCGCATCGGGCTCCCTGCTTGGCGGGAAGCCTGTTTCTCCCTCTCCCCGTTTGTGTTCCCTCTCTTGCTGTCAAAAACTAAAATCTTAAAAAAAAAATAGAAGCCAGGGTTTAGTGTTTTTATTATGGTTTCACTGTCTCTCCTTGCTTGGGTGACCAGCAGGTTGAAGGGTGCTCAGCAAGCACAGGCAGACAGGATGGTTCCTTAGGCAGCTAGTGAGCCCCTCAGTACTAGTTTTGGCAAATAGTAGAGTGGTCTTTTGGGACAATTCCCTTTAGTCTGTTAAGCTACATACAGTAATTTTCTAATAGCAATTATCTTTATTAATTTAAAACGATACTACAATCTCTAGCAGTCAAGGTGTCATATGTTCTGGTGGCAATTCCATATCAAATATGAGCACATATGGTAAATTGATGGGAGCAGTACTTTTCATCATATACTGAAAAAATGGGGACCAGTGGGAAAACAGTTAAGTTTTTTTTTTTTTATTTATTTGCGAGAGAGAGAATGAGAGACAGAGAGCATGAGAGGGAGGAGGGTTAGAGGGAGAAGCAGACTCCCTGCTGAGCAGGGAGCCCGATGTGGGACTCGATCCCGGGACTCCAGGATCATGACCTGAGCCGAAGGTAGTTGCCCAGGCGCCCAGTTTTTTTTTTTTTTTAAGATTTTATTTATTTTATTTATTTGACAGAGACACAGCGAGAGAGGGAACACAAGCAGGGGGAGTGGAAGAGGGAGAAGCAGGCTTCCCGCTGAGCAGGGAGCCCGATGCGGGGCTCGATCCCAGCACCCTGGGATCATGACCTGAGCCGAAGGCAGACGCCTAACGACTGAGCCACCCAGGCGCCCCGGAAAACAGTTCTTTAAATCTGCACTGAGGATTACCTATTCCTCAATTTCTTTTAGAGCCAGTAAGGGTAATTAATATTTAACAGGGATATATTTAAATTGAGAAAAATAGAGCATTTGAAGAATCTCTTACGGGTTTTCAACTTCTAAACTTTTTAACATTGTCCTTTCAAACAGCAGCTTTCTGGTACGATGTGGATTGATTATTAAATTGACTGCACATATCCCTTTGCTGGGCTAATCCTTCACAGACCGGGAGATGTAATTAAAAAAAATAAAAATGACATCACAGGGTAGGAAGACAGATTTTCCTATTATATCTAGTAAGTAAAATACAGAGATAGAAGTTGAGTACATTCAATTAAAGGATGAAACTTAAGGACCTACCTTTTAATGGAGTAGACACCAAACTCTTACTATTAGGTGCAAGAATGGAAGGAATTTCATCTCCTTAGAGCATTGTTAACAGGTTTGGGGTATTTCTAAAACTTTGCTGAATTTAAAAGTTGTATAAGATTGCATACACTTCTACAGTCAACTTAATGTTTGGCACCCTCTACTTTGCTATCTTTGGAATCCCTGTGGGTGTTGGTACCATGGAGTCACACCTATTCCCTTGACCATTTTCTTCCTACCTCTAAAATGCGGGGCCTGGACAAAACTACTTTGTAGAACATAAATACTATGGAGAACTGCAGGGCTGAAATGGGTTAAATTACAGGAAGATCTGTGTTCATTTCACCCTTTGCCACCAGTGTTACCTGAGTCCTATTCCTCTTGCCTCCTTTAGACGATGAGAGTTCACTGCTTGACCCCGATGACATGAAACACGTGGGGGACGATGGATCAAACTCTGTAGCAACTGAGCCCTGGCTCCGCCCAGGCACCTCAGAAACGCTGCAACAATTCATGGCTGAGCAGCTGAACCAGGAGCAGCAGCAGGTTCCTGGAAAACCAGGCACTTACAACTGGCAGGGCCTGTCTACTGCCCACGGTTAAATAAATCTGCATTGGACCCAGCAGTGCCTTTTAAGGTGAAAGGAATGTCAAATCAGAACCTTTAATAAGTGTGCTACTTTTGGCCCCTACCTGAAGTTACTTACACAAGTTTCATCTGTATATAAGGTGTATTTTTTCCCATGATGTATAATGATGTATATATTATGTACATAAATAAAAGGCAATGATTACATAACAGGATTACCTAGAATTATTTTTGCACAATTTTGCCATAAATTGGGGTGGTAATGAACTCTTGGAATCAATTACCATATGTGCATTATTTTAAATTCTGCTTGTCAGTAAGATAAGGTGAATAAAAGAGGTGTCTTAACAGTATTGTAAAACCTGAATACGCTTGTTGTATGTACATTTGCCACAGTCATCGCTATTCAAAATAATAATTCCTGTAATAAATACATTCGTTGTAGCTGTATTTCAGTTGCTAGGTAATGAATCAAATGTGCTAGTTATTTCCATGTCATTTATAGCTACTCAGTATAAATGATGGGGGAATCGTAACTGATTTTACTCCCATGAGCCATAAACTAAATGTCACATCATCTTTTTGCCGCTATGTTTATGCAAATGAAGGCATTATTTACTAATTTATATGACTTAAATACTTGATAGAAATAAATTATTTTTTATTACCAGTGTCAATTTATTTTAACTGGAATTGAGGTTTCTAGACGAGGTGTTTTAGAAGTTGAAGACAGGACCATCAGGGGCCAAGGACAGAGACTGCATCACCATGGACCCTTGGATCAGTGAGTCAGTCTTCCTAATCACTCCTTAATCACATTTAAAAAAGTAAAGAAAGATTAATTCAAATTCTGGGAAATAATTCTTTGGTCTTTCTTTAGCATTATGATGGCTGAGAACACCCCCAGGTACTACTTCCTGCACATTTCCACTGATGGAACTAATGACGGACAGGATTGACAAGTTTACTGCAAATGTGAAATTTCTCCATTTTGAATTTTAGCCATACATTTTATACTCAATTTTGTAACCTATCTGTTGTTTATTTTACTGTGAAGAAGATTTTTCCTGTTATATCTTCATCTGAAACACCCATCATCTGAAACAAACACCCATCAGCAAGGTCAGGGTGGTTTCCATCTTCCAAGGTGGGTGACTCCCAGCTCTAGTGTCCAGCTGGGCTTGCACAGGGCTGTCTTGGGGGGTAGTAAATACGGTACACCTATAAATGCATTGTTCAGTAACTCATCTAAGAGCGGTATGAGAGCAAACACTGCACACTTCTATTTTTAAACACAGTCATTATCTTGACATGTTCCATTTTTCGTTCAATGCCATCGTACCATACAACTTGAACTGACTCCTAGGACACACAATGCCCCCCTGACAAACTGCCCCAAAAGGGACTTCAGCTCTCTCAGCATTCACACAGTATAGCCTTATTTTGGGTTATTAATACACAAAATTTTAATTATGAATATCCTATGGCTGAGAAAGCACGATCCTAATGCCAAAAGAAGAACACTGAATTTGTAGTTCTGGCCAAGAATATTCCTAAGTTGTTCGGCTTTTAACAAAGAAAGGATCAATGAAACATGGGGCTGTAGATTACACAGGTTTTGATTGCACGGATGAAATAATCCAAAAACTTTATTGACCTATATAACCTGATTAGAATATGCCAGATGAGAATCAGTATTGTACAGAAAGTTGTACAGAATTTTTTACATAGAAAACTTTACATCTGTACCATATACATTTTATCCATCTGAAAAAATTTTCTACATCCACTGTTAATACGGAATGCTTGACAATCTTGTCTTTTTTTAACCATCAGAGCACAATTCACAGTATGAATACATTTCCAGTAAATCTAACTCCCCCAACCATGCCAGATTTGTTATTTTAACATATTCAACATTAAATTCTGTACACAGAGTAAAATCTACATCAAGCCCCGCCACCCAAAAGAAAAAGAAAGTGACAGCAACCTAGATTCATTTTGCAGTGATTCAAGTTTCGGTCCATGAAGGATCAACTCTATTTTAATGGCTCATCTTTAGAAGCCCTAAGAGAAGTATATTACAGGTAGTTAGGTCAGTAGGAGTATTTTCTACCTTTTTTGTTGTTGATCATGACAAGCGTCAGCCACAACAGCTTTCTGGGCATGTTAAACCCTCAAAATTACCAACCCCTCCCCCCCCCACCAAAAAGGGCAAAACCAAAACCCCCACAAAATAAAAAAGACAAAAAGTTCAACCCAAATGTTTAGTGCATTTGACAAAATATTATAGGTATTTAGCAAATGAATAAGAAAATAAAGAAATTAAAATAAAACAGTGCAGGAAGAACTATATAATGTTTAAGATTTTTATATTACAGACCTGCATCTCTGTACATTTTTCACAGAAGGATGATTACCAGTATCTCAGATAGCCTGAGTGTGCAAAAATCTTCAGAATAAGAATACCATAGTTGCTAAATATCTTTTACCATGAACAATAATTTCTTCTTCTCCCCCCCACCCCCCCAATTATAAACATTTTATCCTTCAAAATACAGCTCTCCTGAGTTGTACTTCTTGCAGAAGTTCAAATCTTTACATCTATAGTTCTTTGGGTAAAGTTTTACTTCCACACCTGCCGAAAACTGTGGGGCTCTCCCTGCCGCCAAGGACAGGGAAAGGACACATGAACACAAGCTGACACTGTGGAAACAGGCTTTCTGCTCAACATGAGCCCAACATGACAAACAGAATCCACCAGATTACTAAATAGGGACTGGAGCGTTGCGCAAGTTTGAGTTACAGTTCTAAGCATCTTTACCAGTAACCCTCAGACACCGCAATTCAGAGAAACCATTTTTCAGGTAGGAAACCTCAGCTCCAAGGTCCTTTTAAAGAGCGGAGGGATGTAAACGCCAACAGAACAATACCAAGTTGCCATCATTGCTTGTTTATTCCAAGTTCCTGTTCAGGTGGTTGTGATATCTGAAAAACTACTCCAATTCGCAGAAAAAATCTTCTAAGAACGGCACGAAGTTCAGGAATCAAGTCAAATTGCATAATTTCACATAAGAGAGGGTAGTAGAATGATGCATGAGCTTTAAACTGGGGGGGAGGGGGGGAAATAAATTTCTCCATTAGTAATGCTTGCATTCCAAACCACAGCAGCTCAAATGCCTTTAGCGTCAAACCACTCTGGGGCCTGCACTGATCAGTGAAGACAGAGGAAAGGCATCTGCATAAAGCAGGGACTATAGTGATTATGGAACTGAAAGAGAAGTATTCAAAAGACTCAATACAAACATTATTCACTTAGCTATCCTTATTTTGAAAAACATTTCCATTTCCTTGACAAACTTATGACAAACTTTTAGTATTTATCATTGTTTTTCTGGATAATAAGCAAAAGTAAGACAAGCAGGAACCACAGCTGAGTTTTTATAAGCTATGGGTTATTGAAACAATCTTGTTAAAGAAAATTTTCATTTTTATGGAAAATTCTACCTAATAGTGCAATACAAAATTGCAATCTCCAGGCAAAGATCAGACTTCCCACATTTACAGTTCAACTGATGTACTGTGGTCGTGTTTGCTGGAATTCCTCAATCTCTGAATCGCTCTCTCTGCTGCTCTCCACACCCCATGAGGGACTAGGTAGCAGTGTGACCGATGGTGGCACGAAAGCCCACGGTGGAACCAGAGAGACTGGGGTTTGGAGTCCTTTTTGGCCACATGGCTGCTGATGCCTTAGGTCACTTCTCCAAGCTTTATCCAGCCCAGAGGGAAATGCATGTGGACTAGAGCACGACTTCGGACAAACATCTCTATGGCAGCAAGTGACACCACACAGCCTCTCTGGGGCCCCGTACACCACTGTGACCCCAATCTCAGGCTACCTCACTAGACATTTTTAAACCAACTCAGGGATCATGGCAACCCGTTTCCAAGTATATGAGCTGTAAGTTGCTGTATTTTTTAAAGCGGGAAATGCATATTTTTGAAAATCTGCACTATGTATTTATATTTAGTTACATATTTTTAATTTATCATCATTTCTACTGGTTTCATATTCTTAAATGAGTTTATGGCCTATTCACTAGGGCCTCTGTGTTACATGGAACCAATAAATATGCCAAAGGAATGGCTAAAGCCTGGAGCACAGGCCTGGGACCCCGGTAGGGGCAGAGTCCAGGGCCAGAGGTTGGGCAGGGTGACAGTTTTCAAAATGGAGGACAGACTTCAGAGGTCAGGATGGGAATTGCAAAGTATGGGGGACCCAGCAGCTTGGTCAGAGTGTTCCAAAGGACACTGATTCCTTCTTTACTGACTCCCCTACAAAGTCACTGCTTAGAGAACCAAGCAGGGTGAGGAGGGAGAAGACTGAGGGCCCATGCGGAGACGGGCCACCGTGGTCCGGGACAAAGTGGCACCACAGCCCGGGCTTTGCTGGATCTACCTCCGAGCAATGGGTCTGCAAGCCGGCGCCCCTGCCTCCCACTTGAGCCTGATGCTGGTCAGGCTAGAAATGCCGGGCTGGAGAAGACATCTCATACTTACCCTACTGTCGCTTATCTTTAGAACTTTAGTTAGAAACAAAAGCAGTAAATTAGTCCAGGCTTCCCGGTGACTCTCTGACGTCAGAGTAAGGAAGTAACTTAGGGCTTCGCTGCAGACACTGTAACAGAAAGGGCTCACTTTGGCATGTGCTGCATACGTGCGGCTACGGGTGTTCACAGAGAAAACCGCTGGGACGAGGCGGGGAGGGACTATTAACTATCAGGAACTGGTTACAGTCTGTCTGCTAACACTAACTGCAGTATCAACATAACCGTGTCCTTTTCAAATTAGGAAGAAAACCGGACGTTAAAAGAAGCCAGTGCAATGTATCAGGAAACGCATTTTCTAAAAGGTCCCCCGAATTTCAGACCCCTGTGCGGCAGCGCACGTCCAAGCCTGGCATCAAGAAACCGGGGCTGAAATCGGGTGGGTCTTCACTCACTGTGAAGGTGTAGACACTTCTGGGTCTTAAAAGTCTCATCAGTAAAGTGGGAAACAGGGACTAAGTCATCTCTTGAAGTTCTAAAATGTACTTAACTGGTCTCTGAGAACATCTATTCCCTGAGAATACACAAAAATACAATGCAGAAGACAGCAGTCTTTCTGAATGGCATGTTTCATTCTTAGCATGAGTTTAAAATTTAAAGGACAGAATCTTAAGTTGTCATGAAGTAAAAGAATGCAAAAAAAAAAGTAACACTAACAAAACATCAAACCTTCTTTCAAACTAAATGCAGGCAGGCAGGTTTTCACTTTCACATATGATTGGTTCGTAAAAATGCGATTATCTGTGGCATGAAAAAGCCTAATGGTTCGTAAAAATGCGATTATCTGTGGCATGAAAAAGCCTAAAAACTCTGAACTTTTAAATTTTAGGAAACTTTCTTCCTGTCCCACAGCGGCAACAACAGACATGATTTGCTCATGCCACCAACTGCGCAAAAGTGCGTCCATCTATAAGACTCTCTAATTTTCACAATCTCTTCCTTGGGCCCCAAGCTGTTTGCATGGTCCTGCAGCAGGGCTGAGATGTGGACTCTGCCACGAGTGCAAACCTAGTGGCCCTTTCCTCCTCTGTACCACGCAGCCACATGGGTCAAAGGCAGACACTGAGCCAAGAGTCTTACTTTAAAAGCCTCTGCTGGACCTCCTCCCAGGCACTAACGCGGCTCTCATCCATGTACATCCGGAAGAGAATGCGCAGCCCACAGGCAAGGCTGCTCGTCTCCTGCTTCAGAAGGTTAGGTTTGGATTTGCCTTTGAAGCCTGTGGAGAAGGGAAGTTGCATGTTACAGAAAGACAAAACCGCCTTGTGTGAAGGCACATCTTGTGCCTGTCCTGAACCCAGGGCCTCAGCAGCCCTGAGGTGGCCCACAGGGAAGGAGTCGCACAGGGAAGGCACACCTCGAGACCGTGGGGGAGGCCCAGCTAAAGGCGATTTCTATGTGGAAAATTTCCCCTCCTTTCCAGCTGTGGGGATAGGAGGTACAAAACAATGTTGGCCTGGGAAAGCGGAACTCTTCAAATGAAACTGCACCTGAAAGCTCCATACAGCTTACAGGAGGGCTCCTGGGTGAACAGGGGCAGACCCCTCAGCAGGAAGAAGGTTTCATCAGGCCAAGGGTCCAAGCATTGTGAAGGGTCCAATGCGCATGCAAACGTGGAACCTGGTGACTTTAGCAGGAGCAGTCCTGGTTGAATGGCAGCAACAACTTGAGTTGAATAAAGGGGAAAAAATATACACTACTCTTCCCAGAAGTTAGGTTGTAAAGGAAAGAGGAGGAACAAGCCATGGGCTTCATTAGGGGTTAAACGATCATTTTAGATTAAATAAAATATGCAAATATAAAGTACCCAACACTATTTCAGAGTCTGATGTTCAATAAACATTAGCTCCCCTTTTTTCTTCACATTCTGCTGCCTTTCATTCTTCCAGCACTGTTTTTTACCTAATACGCACCAAATAACTACTTAAGTAAAAAATTAGATGTCAGTTTAATTATTTACATATTTATATAATTATATTATACTTAAATTTTCCAACTTGTTCAAAAATATGCCTCCCTCCCTCAGAACATTCACTTCCATTCTGAGGTGTGGCCACTCCCAGATAAGTATGGAGAAGTCATTTGAATACACATGCAAGGATTTCATGTTTAGGACCTTCACACACTTTTTCTCATTAAAAAAAGGGCGGCTTTTAGTGTGCTGACAGTATCGACAGGGAGGTCCAGGTTGGGTGAACAAGATGAAAAAATGAATGGTCAAATCAGTCGAACAACAGATTGATTAAACAAGTGGGAAACAAGTTGCCCCGAGCAGCTTACTATAATTACACATTATATTACATATGTATTATATTAGGCCTTCCTACTATTATTAAGGTAAAAAGTTCATACAGTGAAATGCATACACCTGAAGTGTACAGTAATGAATTCTGATAAACGCACACCTCTGGTGCACAACCGTTAACAGTGAACACCAAAGTGTGATGCTCGTGCAGCTTACCTGCTTTCCACAGAGCAGTCCTCTGTTCATTGTTGGAATTAAATGCTTTTGCAAATCTATGGGACTCTAATAAGCAGTCCAGTAGCTTAAAAAGTTGTTGTGATGTTAAAAAGCGGTACATTCCTTGATCCTGTGTATCAACTCGAACATCAAAGTCCACAGCATCTCTCTTTGGAAAACAAACCACCACAGCACGTGCATGCACACAAACACACACACACACACACACACACACACAGTCACAAATTTTAGTAAGTTTAGAATTCAATGCTCCCCCAAATATCAGTTTTAAGAGAACTGAACTTAATCTCTTTTACCTCAACAGGAAATAGGGAAAGGTCTATCTTTTGTCATTAAACTTCCAGAATCTTCCTTCGTGCATCCTAGTCATCCGGCACCACCTCCTATCTTTCCAATTCCCTCCTCCTATTTCCTGACTCCAGGAGCTCTTCCCCTGCCAGAGCCTACAGCCCTTCACTATTCCTCCCTGCCACTTAGGTCCTCTCTTCTCTTATTAACCAGTTTAGACTCCATGTGCTCCAGTTATAATTATTCTCTTGCATAATCCCTCACTCTTTTTAGATTAATTGGCTGGCAAAACTGCCTACTCCACATCGCCACCCACACAGCAAACACGACTGGAGAAAACAGACTGGTTTTAAATCCAGTGGGCTCTGGGTGCTGCCCAGCAATCCTGCACTGCCCTAGTCTGCTTTCCTGGATGACTAGCTCATGTTTTCAATTCTCCAAGCATCTAAAAAACTCTCTTCCCAACCTCATTTGGTGGATGATTTTTCTTCTCCCCTCTATCAGAAGAGACCTCCCACAAACTCCCAAGAGCAAATGGACCAACCTTCCCGTGTTAACACCCCACACACTTCGCTGCTTTCCTATTACAATGCACGAGCGGCCAGGGCTTACATTCAAGACAACCCCCCAGGAGCTGGCACTAGATGCCGTCCCCGTTCACTTTTCAAAAAGATTGTTCTGCAACTGCCCCTGTCTTCTGCATTCAGTTCTCTCATCAGGGAAAATGCTGCAATACTGCCAATCTTAAAGACAAAACAAAGCAAACCCTTCTCTTGACCCCTTCATCCTCCTCCAGCGATTATCCTATTTCTCTGTATCCCTTTACAGCAAAACTCCCCTTGACGGAATTATCAATATTTTCTGCCTGCAATTCCTCTCTTGTACCCATTTCCATAATGCTTTTGTCCTCAACATTACAATTAAATGCAATGTCAAGGTCACTGAAGTCTACCAAATTGCTAGGGGGCGATTCTCAGATGAAATATTACTTGACCCACTGAGGATTTGACAGAGATGATCACATCCTTCTTCTTAAAACATTTTCTTCATTTGGCTTCCAGGACACCACTGTCTCTTGCTCTCCCCTTGCCTCACGGATTCTTATTCTCGAGCTCTTTAACCAGCCGCTTCATCACCAGGAGCTCTAACTACGGAAGCCCCAGGGCTCAGTCGGCAACCCTCCTCTCAGCTGTCCACACTTACTGCCTAGGGCATGTCATTCAGTCCCATGGTTTAAAATGACATTTCTGTGATGAAGAGCCCCCAAATCAAATCTCTAGTGTGACCTCTGCTCTAAAGTCCAGACTGTGAAAGCCAACTTCCTCCTCAATGTAAAAGCTGCTGTCCCCCCACATCCGTACCTGTGCGGCAGCTAGGTTTTCGGCATCTTCCTTCTTGCTTGTGGCTGGGAAGAACACAATGTTGTCGATAGTCTGGATGAGTTCCAGCTGCACAACACATTTAATCAACAGGGCGGCAAACAATTTTTGTTCTGGAAATTCTGTGAGGAAACCCACCCCAATGCACATGCAAACAAAAATTATTTTGAATCCTTTATAATATCTATGACATTACAATGCTAAGGAAACATTCATATGTGTGAAGGTTACCTGCACATATCACACTGAGAACATACTGCTTTTGCACATAAGCACTACTCAATAAAAGTTTAATCAATTTTTAGAAAAGCCTTACAAAATTAATTTTTTAAATAAAAATATTCCCAAGGACTTAGAGCAGTAAATAATGTTCAGAAAGGTCCCACTACAACTTCTAAAATAAGATTTAGGTTACTCTTTAATAAAATGTAACAAATGGATTAAAAGCTAAGACTTTAATAGCATTTACTGGAACTCAAGTTTGACCTTTGAAATAGGTAATGTAAAAACCTATATATACCAAAAGAAAACAACAGGAACTGGATCTGTGAGAAAGGAAGTGAGGGACAGCCACAAATTCTGACAAATGCGGTAATACTGTGGGTTAATCAGAGCACGTTTTATTTGAATCCAGGTTAGAAGTTGTAGCTAACTATATTTTCAAATGCATCCATAAGCAAAGAAGTCTACAAAAGATTATGCTAAGTACATGATCACAAAACTAACCGAATTTCGAAGTAACAAAATGTTCTCCACACTGTGCAGGCAAGATGAAACACAGCTAAGTCTTCTAGCCTGAACGAACCTGCTCAGCAAGATGTTTCTGACAATCCACCAGCCTACAAGGACATGCTCATAGAAGAACTTTGCATTTCACTGACCAAATGCCGAAGCACAAGGTCAGAAAGAACTCAACTACTGAGATGCTGCGAGAGCTTGGCAGTGCTGACATGCGGCTCCAAGGGAGCTCTCAATCCTGGGATGTCAGGGCCAGCTTCTCCAGTGAGCTTTCCAGGAGGCAGATGACTGCCCCAGGGGAGTGGCTGACTTACAATTCTTCAGTCTCTACTTTTGCTTTTATTACAAATTCCCTTTTGCGGCACCAATTTGTGGAACTTAAATTCATGTTTTAGGGACTTTAGGGGTAGCAAAACAACTTGCATAAATTCATTCTTACTGAGGTTATTAGTAAAGGCTCCTTTCCAGGTAGTTTTCAGAAATGCTGTTGTATTTAACACTTACTACTAGATCGCATGTCAAAAAAAAAAAAAAGAAAAAAGAAAAAGAAAAGAAAACAAAGAAGCCACAAGTCCCACAAACTGTCTCCTCTTCAGTGTCTTTTTCCTAGCCCTCTACCTCAGTCAGAGCTGACACATACCAGTCGCTCCTTCCCCTCCCCCATTCCAGTCCTAAAACTCAGTTCCTAGAGCAGGAGACTCCTGGCAGCACAGCCGGAGCTCCCAGAGAGAATTGGGAGTTGGCTGACGTCTGACAAGATGTGTCCTCGTTAGTTCTAACATCAGCCGCTAAGGGCCGGAAGAGCTTTCAGCAGGGTGAACTGAGAGTATGGCTGATGAGGCTCCACTCTGATCGAATGGGCAAAGCTGGGCCTCCCCTGCTTTCTGGTGTCCTTGGAGGATAAGGATCTTAACTTCAGACTCACTGGCAATGACCAGCAGCATGTTTGGGGACAATATCTATCTGGACAAATTTTACAACTCGGGTTGGTTGACACTGCCCGGGTTTATTAGGTGACCATGTCACTGGTTCACCCAAGCTAAGCAAAGATGAACTATGTGGGATAGCAGGTACGGAGCCGAGGCTAGATGGGGCAGTGATGTTTTCTGAAAGTGTACAGAGAGAATGAGCTAGTTGCCCTGCAGACAGGATGAAGTACTCAGGTCCGTGTTATGATTCTTTGAGGAGGAGTCAGACCGCAGATGGCCGCCTCATTGAACAGAGGAACCATCACCTGTCCACTTAATGAAAGAGCTCATGGGAGCATGGTGGCCATCTGTTCTTCCCCCAGCTCCACCTATTCTGAGTCGTCAATCCCATGGTGAACTTTTCCTAAAGAACTTCAAGGGGAGAACGAACAGGGTGTCTGACAGAAGGAAAGAAGCATGGGTCCTCAGCTCAGGGTGGTAGGGAAGCAGCTCCAGTTAAAGACATACTCCTGGATTAGCCATGTGAAGACTTTCTAATGTGTGATGACCTGGCCCTTCCTTTACAAAGCTAAGTATATTTAAATTCAGTCTTGGGGCTGAGAGATAGAGAAGTCACTCACTAGTCTGTCCTCATGGCATGTTCCAGTTCAGACTAAAGCTGTCATGGATTCCTGCACAAGCCATTGCTGTTCTCCAGAGAACAGGAATCAAAAATGAAAATAAGCCACTCAACACTACCTATCTCCCTTTTAGGAAGTTAGCAAAACACAGTGACTGAAGCTGGAAACTCCTTTCAAGTAGGATACCAAATCTGTCTTCTCTCAAGAACAAGCACCTAGCATTAATAAAAAATTCCCCGAAAAAAAAAATTAAAATTAAAAATGTAGGGACTAAAAGCATAAAACTCTTAAAAGGAAACATCAAGTAAAACCTTCATGACCTTAAATCTGGCAATGGATTCTTAGCTATGACACCAAAAGCAAGAGCAAGGAAAAAAACAGGTAAATTGGATTTCATCAGAATTAAAGACTTTCTGCATAAGATGATGTTACCAAAGAAATCGTAAGATTTATACTACAGAATATAAGTATCTGCAAATCATATATGTGATACAGGTAGAGTATCCAGAGTGTGTAACAAACTTACATTTCAATAACAAAAAGGCATAAACCAATTAAAAATGAGCAAAGGACATGAATAGACATTTCTCCAAAGAGACATACAAATGGCAATAAGCACATGAAAAGATGCTTTACCATCATTAATCATTAGGGTGATTGCACAACACTGTGAATGTACTGAAAATACTTTTATTTTTTAAAGATTTATTTATTTATTTTAGAGAGAGAGTGTGCACACAGGGGGAGGGGCAGAGGGAGATAGGGAATCTCAAGCAGACTCCCTGCTGAGCGCAGAGCCCGACACAGGGCTCAATCTCAGGACCCAGGATCACGACCTGAGCAGAAAGGAAGAACTGGCCACTCAATCAAATGAGCCACCCAGGTGCCCCTAAAATGGTTACTTTTCTTCTGTGACTTTCACCTCATTTTATAAAAGCAATTAGAGTTGTCCTGTTTTCTTCTAGGGAGGAGGCAGCTTTTCCTTGGTGTTATAATTTTCCTTCAGTAAACAAAGTTGGATCAGTTTTGTAAAAAAACAGAAGGGGTTCCCCTTCTTTGTGAAAAGAACTAAGATGGTGAGCGGAGGAGACGTGGGGTGAGGCAGCTGAGTGTACAGAAGGCTGGCTCCCCAGGAAGCTGGGTGTTCCTGCTTAGAAAGCACTGTAGAGAAAGGCCCCTCAGGCCCCACTTTTGCAGAAAGGATATGGGGCTGACATGCAGAAGGGAACGGAGAGAAAAGACTCATGTGTCCGACACAAACATTAGCGAAAAGCCTTTGTGGAAAAAGCTGGTACTACAGGTGTTAGTGAATGTCCAAGTTGGAACACACACAGTAACAAAGTGACTACACACCATCAATTACAGTACATATTTGTTAATACCAAAAGTAAAAGCAAACATTTCATCCTTTACCTACACAAAACAAAACACACTATTTTTATTAGGAGAAATAACTCACTTGCTGTATGTTTAATTTTGCTGACTTCTTCGTTCACAGTAGAGACAGCAGCCAATTGTGCTTGCTGTCTATTATCTGCAGATCTTGGCTGAACAGAATCATGAATATCTACAGATTTCTGTGATATTGTATCCTAATAAAACAAAAAATTCATTGTAAGTACAACGAATAAAGCTTAAGGATGAAAACAGTTCCTAGTATGTTTTTGAAAAAAAAATTACGTGTGTCACTATGAAAAGGACATTCTACGCAGTGTGATTACAGACACAAGGAGAAAATTATTTAAAGTTACCTACGCTGACAGTCTTTAAGAGAAAAGCTTCCTTTCTAACCCTCATTCGTTTCGGGCCTGGTAGCACCCAAAAGCAATAGATAAAAATGCTAAGCTTCACTGTGAGGAAAAGCTAGTCAGCAATATCCACGAACTGTCATGAAATCTGTTTAAACAGAACATGTATGTGGCAGAGGTGGGGGACATTTCTGCAAGCTTTGTGTAGGCGGTGCTCAAGAAAGCTTTGTAGGGGTGAGTTTAGGGAAAGACATTCTGTCATCCAAAGGAACTGGCGACCGGAAAGGTCAGTAAGAAGGTGACTAACTGCAAGTGTGGTGTCATGAAGAAAAGCTCAAGTTCAAGTCCAAGAGAACTACACCAGACTTTTGCTCCAGCATTAGGTATAACCTTGGAAAAGCATAGAACCCTCTTGTGTTAAGATTTTCTGAACTGAAAATGGAGAGAACACTTTCCTTGTAAGTTATTAAGGATAAGGTAAGAAATGCAAAGCACTAGCACAGTGCCAGACAGTATGTGATAGCTGGCATTACTATTCGAGCTTTATTTTGTTACAGCAATACAACATACTCCGGACAGAATCTAGAACGTGGTTTCCAGAGGAACGGAGAACTGTAACCTAACAGCCTTAGCCGGAAGCGACCTCACCTGGGTTTCTGAAAAGAAGGCAGGGGCTTACATTCCCCAAAACAGTGCTAATCAAAATAGTATTTTAACTTAGATTTAAAATATCACAGTTTGATTTTTCATTTGCTGTTCCGTATAAAACAGGGATAATATACCAAACTGGATTCAAAAAATTGCTGAAAGGATCAAATGTGAAAATATTTTTTAAATGGTGAAGTGCTACACGAATCTAAAGCCATATTATTACTGTTGTAATTGTTCTTACTCATCTTTGTATTTTTCATGTTTAATACACAGGAGGCCTTTAATAATAATTATATAGACCCAGTAGAGTAGTTGGGTAATTTCTTTGGCCATGATGGACTATAATACAGTTAAAAAAAATTTTTTTTAAAGATTTTATTTATTTATTTGAGAGAGAGAGAGAGAGCACGTGAGCATGAGCAGGGGGGAGGGGCAAAGGAAGAGGGAGAAGCAGACTCCCGGGCAACTCGGGGGACTTGGTCCCAGGACCCTGAAATCATGACCTGAGCTAAAGGCAGACACTCAACCGACTGAGCCACCCAGGCTTCCTATAATGCACTTTTAGATAAAAACTTAAATGGAAGAATGCATATAACAACACTTCTAAATTTGTAAGTCCTTTAAGGGAATGTTTATTGTTTAAAATTAACTATAAAAAAAAAATCTCTTTTTAACTTGTACACTTTAAGAAGTATATTTTAAGGGGGGAAATTAATCAGTTGACAGAATAAAAAATGCATTGTCCTACTGAATGTAAGGGAAAGCATTTTTTTTAAGGCACTAGTTTTTAAATTTTTGGGGCACTGGCTCTTTTGAACATTCTGATGATTTCTAAGAAGCTTCTCCCCAGGAAATTAAATGTACACAAAAACTAGGTCACAGTATTGGGGATTTAAAGTCTCCTTTGTATCAGAGGAATTTTTTTAATGTTAGGCATATTGCTTTCTCAATTTTTCTGATTAATCAATGTAAATGAGGATGATTTTTTGGTAATCTTTGCATTTTTTAGAACAGCTGTGTACCAGAAATATGCCCACACCTCCCCTTTAAAAAAAGGACCCTTTACTGGAAAAGGAGGCGTTCCTATGAAAGCAATCTCTATGTATCGAAGTGGAGACATCTCTTAGCTATTCCAAATATAAAATGTTAGTCTCAAAACAAGATTTCATTTTTTCAAAAACCACATATAATTAATATTAACTATATACAAAATGTATGGAAAACAGCTGGAAGGATAAACATCACAACATTAAACATAAGTTGTGGCTGAAGGGGGCAGTATGAAAAGGGAATTGCATTTTTTTTTTTTTTTTTTAAAGATTTTGTTTGTCAGAGAGAGAGACAGAGGCAGGCAGAGGGAGAAGCAGGCTCCCTGCTGAGCTGGGAGCCTGACGTGGAGCTCGACCCCAGGACCCCGGAATCATGACCTGAGCTGAAGGCAGACACCTAACCGACTGGGCCACCCAGGCATCCTGGGACTTGCATTTTTTACCCTATTTTCTTCTGTACTATCCAAAAAAAAAATTTTTTTATATTAACAGGGTATATTTCTATTTTTAATTTTTAAAAAGTAATCCTTCACCAAATCAGTACTGGATATGCACCTGCACTGATTGTCACACAGGTCAGACTGCTTGCAAATTTGTGGAGATGAAGGAGAAGACTGATTGTCATCCCAGGAAAAAGGGGGAAGACGGCTCTAAGTTCTTGAAATCTGGTGATGCCACCATCGCTGACATGGCTCCTGACAAGCCTGTGTGCGTTGAGAGCCTCTCTGACTATTCTGTGGGCCATTTTGCTGTTTGTGACATGAGACAGACGAGAAGGCAGCTGGAGCTGGCAAGGTCACTCAGAAGGCTAAATGAGTATTATCCCCAATAACCTGACACCCCGGTCTTATTCAGTGGTGGAAGAACAGTCTCAGAAATGTTTGTATCAACTGGCCATTTAAGTTTAATAGTAAAAGACTGGTTAATGATAACAATGCATTGTAAAACCTTCAGATGGAAAGGAGAATGTTTTGTGGACCTTCTGTGTGTGTGTGTTGTGTGTGTGTGTGTGTTGTGTGGTGTGTGTGTGTGTGTGTGTGGCAATTTTAAAGTTATTAGGGTTTTTTTAAGTTATTAGTTTTTAAAATCAGTACTTTTTAATGGAAAACACTTGACCAAAAATCTGTCACAGCATTTTGAGACCCATTAAAACAAAAGTTTAATGAAAGAAACAAATAAAAATAAATAAGAAGTAGTCCTCCAGTGCACGGCAAGAAATATTCAGCGAGGAAAACACTGCAGTTTATTGGCAAGCTGTGAGCCGTACAGAGAAGGGAAAGCAAAAGGAAGCGGGGTGAAAGAAGGGGTGGCGGCAGCAGCTCACAGAGGAGACTGTGAGCTGGTCCCGAGGGGCACCGCTGCCTCCCTCTATGGAGCCCGGCAGCAGCCCAGCCTCTCATCACTCACCCCGGCACATGCGGTTCCAACAACTTTATGTGCATTATAATGCATTACCTGACTTAACTCCCATCACAAAACTCACTCTACCATGAGGTTAGGTAACTTGCTGAGGCCACAGAGCTAGTCACTGCAGAGCCAGGATTTCTTTTTTTTTTAAAGATTTTATTTATTTATTTGAGAGAGAGAATGAGAGAGAGAGAGCACATGAGGGGGGAGGGTCAGAGGGAGAAGCAGACTCCCTGCTGAGCAGGGAGCCCGATGCGGGACTCGATCCCGGGACTCCAGGATCATGACCTGAGCTGAAGGCAGTCGCTTAACCGACTGAGCCACCCAGGCGCCCCAGAGCCAGGATTTCATTTTGGGTCTGGCATCAAAGCCCACACTACAAACTACTATACTATACAGCAGAGGTAGCAAAAACAAAAACCCACAGAGTACGCAGAGGGTGGGCCAAAGTTAAGAAAAACAAAAAAGAGAGCAAGTTCATTCTGGACTTGAAAGACGGTTTCATAAGTGGTGGAGTCTATAATGAACAGATAGCTCCTGCAGATCAGGGTCATGGAGCAATGTGGCCCCAATATATCAGATGTGACTGTTCTCTCAAGATAAATTCAGAGTAGTAATTCTCTGTGAAATCTAAGTTTTAGCCATTGACAATTACTTAGGAAATTTAAAAGTTGTGAGGGGGATAAATTGACCAATGGACACTAATATGCTACCTCTGGTCTCCTGGGTTTAAAATTCAGTAAGGCCAGATTAAATAATAGTACTGTTTCAGTGGTAATTTCCTGATTTTGTTAACGGCACTGTGATTATGTAAGTGCTTTTGCTTTGTATTTTTTATGGAAAAACACTAAAGAACTTAAGAAGAAAAGGATATCTTATTTTCAATTTACGTTCAAAGAATTCTGAAAAGTTTGTGGGTGGGGGGGTGGGCCAGAGAGAGAAAAAGGAAGGAGGGAGGAAATAATAAAGCAAATGTAGTGAAATTATAACATCTGGTGAAACATGGTGTCATGTAGTTTTATGTGTCAACCTGGCTAGGCTATAGGATCTAGTTACTCAGTTCCAACACAAATACAAGTGTTACTATGAAGGTATTCTGTAGATGTGGTGATCATCTACAACCAGTCGACTTTAAGTAAAGAAGATTATCCTCAATAATATGGCCAGAACTTCACGTGACCAACTGAAAGGCCTCAGGTCTCCCTAAAGTAATTCTACCTGTGGACTGCAGCTACAGCCCCTGCCTAAGAGTTTCCAACCTGCCCTACAGATTTCAAATTACTGGCACCCATAATCGCATGGCCAATTCTGTGAAATTCAAATTAAAAAAAAAAAATTTATGCATATACATATATTATATACACACACACACACAGATAGATACAGATATTTCCCACTGGTTCCATTTCTCTGGTAGAACACTGACTGATACAGATTTTGGTACCATGAAGTGGCGTGCTGCTATAAGAAATACCTAGAAATGTGGAAATGGCTTTGGAACTGGGTAATGGTAGAAACCAGAAGAGTTCTGAGGCATATGACAGAAAAAGCCTAGATTGCCTTGAAGAGACTGTTAGTAGCAACATGGCCATTAAATGAGATTCTGGTGAGGATGCAGAAGGCAGTGAAATGCATAATGGAGAAATCTTCTGTCACCCTAAAGAATACACATATGGGCATAGAATCGAATGTGGACAGAAATATGAATGTTAAAAGTGCTTCTGGTGAGGTCTCAGAAGGAAATCAGGAACGTGTAACTGGATAATGGAAGTAAGGTGATATTTGTATACAGTAGCAGAAAACTTGGTTCAATTGTGTTGTACTACTGAGTGGAAAGCAGAACTTCTAAGTGATGAACTTGGATATTTAGCTGAGGATATTTCCAAGCAAAAGGTTAAAGGTGTGGCCCAGTTTCTCCTTGGTGTTTACAGAAAAATGAGAGGCTAGAGAGATACACTGAGGAAGGAATTACCAAGCAAAAATGAACTAGCACTTGATAATTTGGAAGGATAAACTGCAAAGGATGCCAAAATTGGAAAATTCATCGTTATGAAAACATTTCTTTGGACAGTTAGACAACATTTTGTTGAAAGAGATTAGGTGTGTGGATCCAATGGATCCAATCAAACATCTTAGCAGAAGCCTGGAAGAGAGATGAAGTCATCCAGAAAGGTTCCATGAATAACCCTCTTGACATACATGAGAGACCCACAGGGATTTTAAGAATGATATACCAGTAGAAACACAGCCAGCCTAGACTGAAAGGGACAGACATAGGATAAAATGAATGAAGGTTATCAGATCTCTGGGATTCTACAGGCAGGAAATGGGCTACATGGCTGCAAACACATGCTAACCTTTAAGAAGAAATGATTTAGAGAGCAGAGCTGCAGGGGCATAGGAAGGAGCAGTGGGCCCAGAGGGCAGAGTATCAAGGTACAGAGAATTATCCTCAGGCCTTAAAAATTTTTTTTGAAAGATTTTTATTTATTTGACTGAGAGAGAGAGAAGAGAGCATGAGTGGGGGGAGGCGCGGGGCTCAATCCCAGGACCCTGGGATTATGACCTGAGCTGAAGACGCTTAACTGAATGAGCCACCCAGGTGCCCCTCAGACCTTAAAAATTAATAGAATTTGCCCTGCTGGGTTTTGAACCTGTTTAGGACCAGTGACCCTTTTATTCCTTCCAATTTCTCCCTTTTGGAATGAGGATGTTTATCCTATGCTTGTCCCACCACTGTATTTTACAAACAGGTACTTTGTTTTCTCGGTTTACAGGTCCACAGATGGGGACGGATGATGTCCCCAGAAGAGACCACATACCTGATCTAGATGGCTGTGATGATGAGATCTGGGACTTCTGATATGATGTTTAGATCAGATTTTGGACTTGCTGATGCTATAATGAGTTGAAACTTTTGGGAATACTGGGATGGCATGAATACATTTTGCCTGAAAGATGAACATGAATTTTTGGGTGCCAGAGGGTAGAAACTGCAATAGGTTGAACACTGGCCCCAAAAAGGTATATTAAAGTTGGAACCTCTGGTACTTAGGAAGGTTACTTGGAAACAGGGTCTTTAAAGATGTAATTAAAGATTCTGAAATGAGGTGGCTTATATCTTATCTTACAAACATAAGAGATGGCTAGTGTCCTTTAAAGAGAAAAAAGGAGAGGCAGATTTGACACATAACGGATTTGACTTTACACAGCCATGTGAAAATGGAGGCAGAGATTAGAATGATGTGTGTACAAGTCAAGGGTTGCCAAGAGCCACTAGAATCTGAAAAAGGCAAAGAAGGATTCTCCACTAAGGCCTTTGGAGAAAATGCAGCCCTGCTGATGCCTTAATTTTGGGCCTTTGGCCTCCTAAACTGGGAGACAATATATTTCTGTTGTTTTAAAGCCACTTAGTTTGTGGTAATTTGTTGTGGCAGACCTACGAAGCAAATATACTGGGTGAAGGGTATATTAAAATTCTTTGAACTGTTACTGTAATATTTCTCATAGGTTAAATTGTATCCAAATAAAAATTTTAAAATAAATAATATCTTTAGCTTGGTAAGGAAATCCTTTATAATTTTTTTTTTTTTTTTTAAAGTAGGCTCCATACCCATCATGGAACCCAACGTGGGCCTTGAACTCAGGACCCTGAGATCAAGACCTGAGCTGAAATCAAGAGGTGGATGCTTAACCGACTGCACTGCCCAGGTGCCCCTTGGCATGGAAATCCTTACATAATCTCATACCTGGATCTTAAAACTCTTGACATCATTTTACTCTATGTCTCAGACCATCTACATTATAAAATAATTTAAAATGCCTCCTTCATGGCACTTACAGAGATAAATTTTAGCCACCCGGGAAATTTACCATTATGAAGCTTAACCTAAGAATTTTGGACAGATTTATGCCATCTTTTTTAAAGATGTGGACTCACATAAAAGAAGCTGGCCCATGGTAAAATTACTTCTCACAAGCAATTTTAAGTATGATTTATTTATGAAAACTTACCAGCTGTTTTTCACTCACAGGAGATGGAGGTGGGGGAACAGTTTCTCCAGAAGAGGGACGCCAGGTTAAGAGCCTTTAAAAATACCAAATCACACCAATCACTGCGAGTGTGAAACATGACACATTCAACATGTTTTAAAACAGGCATAAAAAAGTCCCAAGAATATGCCAAAAACAATATAATCCTTCTCTGACTACTGCTAAAAACCATTTGCTGAAAAAAATCTAGTAAAAAGTTTAAAATATGTATTTCCAGAAAACAACTGACTAGCATATAATATAATCAAAAGGGTACTCTGGTCATCAGTTAAAAAAAAAAAAACACTTCTGGAAAGTTTCAAAAACTTTAAACTCACTTTTTCTAAGTATTTCCTAAAGTAAGATTGAGAAAAGTTTGAGACTTTTCAAAAATTCATGGATCTCTTTAGATTCTATTTTTTTTTTAATGTATAAAAATAAATGAAATAAAATTTGGCCCAAAAGAAAAAACTAACTTGCCATCCCTGGATTGGGTACTTGGAATAGAAAGATGATTAAGGCCCAAGTTCTTGCTTCTGAGAAGGAGGAGCTCCTGGGAAATGGAGCAGACAATGGTAGATACATCATTTCAATTCAATTTGGAAAGAACTCTAGTACAGTTATTTTCTATTAAGAAATGCTTATTAGATGATCTTTAAGATCATGTATCTTAACCTGAATTTGTAATTCAATAAATTAAAACAGAGGCAGTTCCTAAAACAAACAAACAAAGAAGAATGTTCAGCCTGGCTGGTTTCTGTTGACTTCACAGGGACAACAGCTAGGCAAGAATTCATACTGTCTTTTGACATAAGGGCTACAGATAAACTCTGACAAAAATGGATCATTTGTCAAGTACATTGTTCCAACAAAATGTGCACCAAAAAAATAAGAAAAGCTGACCAATATTTGTCTTTTTAGTTTAGACCCACCTAGAGACTGCTTTCCTAGAGGTGTGTCCCTTTTGTTTGACTTCCAATGTCCTAATTATTAGGATACTTACAAGGGGATCGTATCAGTGCAAACATATTTCACTCATGTCCAGAAAAAGTTTATGATGCTTAAAAATCTGAACTAGTTTTCATACATCATTTTATGCCAGTACATACACATATATCTACTTAAGATGTTTTAAGTACGACTTAAGTAAGACTTAAAGCATCTTATTAAGTAGATTTAAAAATAGTAAATCTAAAGTAAAACTTTGCATAGGTCAGAGAGCCCCAAAGGCTGAGCTGGGAAGTAACTTCAAGTATGTCCTACAAATAATCCAGATGCTATTAGTCATTTAGTGAGACTGTGTCTTTAGTTTCTCCATTGATAAAAACTCCTACAATTCAATTCCAAACTAATTCATTAGAAGATGACAATTAACTATAAAATACATTTGCAAATAAATTTTCCTTAGATTATTAAATCTAAAGTAACTGAAATAGATGTTTAGTTTTTTTGTTGCTTTTTTAAAATTCAAAACCACTGCTTGCTTTAATCTGGATAAATAAAAATAAAACCCTATTAAAGCAGAATCACCTCAATATGACCAATGACCATATGACGAATCAGACTGAAAGTGTCTGGTTTATAAAGAATTTAATTCAAGTATTTGTTACGGTTTATAGGAGTCTGATTTGCAATAAATACAAATTCATGGAACACTGAAGTATTTTTAAAAGAATTTGTTAAAAAAAATCACTAGTTACTATCAAACTTTTTATGTCTATCATTCAATATACAAATATAAAGTTGAGTAAAATCTTCTTACGCATGTGGGATTGTGGTTTTGAAGATATCCAGTGTGCAGTTACAAGTTTTATCCCAGATTTCTAGGGTAAATTTCTCACCATTCAGAATAACAACATTCTCTAAGCAGTTTGTACCAGATCGTGCTAACTGCTCATTGTCTGGAAAAGAAAAGAGCAATTCATTTATATATTGCCAGGGCCACATTTAACACTTTGTGTCACTATTTGCTATAGACTGACCTTGCTGCACACACCAGTAGAGCTGGGCAAAAATATCATCCAAAAGTACATCACTGAGTACTTCTAAATACTGGGTGAATACATCACAGATCGCATAAAGTGCATGATTACAAGTCGTAGTCATCCATTCAGCTTTCTAAGGCAAAAAAGTCATTAAAAGAAGGTCAGACAATTCGTCAACAACCAGAATTAAAGAAGAAATATGTTTGCTTATTTAAAAATGCTAAGTCTGTCCATGTTCCTTTCAGAGCACTTACTTCCCTCTATAATATTACATTCACCTCGACTCAGTATCTGAGATCTATTTTTTCTCCATTATTCCACAATTTATGTATAAAATAATTTTATCTATTTTTTGCATTATTTTTGATTTTAAAAAATTATCACTGAATTGTCTTGCTATTAACATTATGACTCTTCTCAAACAATATGCATGAATATCAACAGCTGGCCTTGCTCCATAATATGACAGAACATAAAAGAGAAATAAAGTGGAAGGAAGTAAGAATTTATCCAAGTGTGCTTGGCATAAATTTAAAATAAAACTCTCATGAAGTATGGTTACTTGAAAATACCATAAATGGTGAATAGGGCCATACAAAATAAGTATAAATTATTTATTTTTCTTAAATACATAAAGGACTAATCCTTGTGCCAGTGCATACACATATGTCTACTTAGATGTTTTCAGTAAGAGTCTACCTGTAGATTTAAAAATCACAAATCTAAAGTAAAACTTCGTGCAGGTCAGTGTCCCTAATGTCTGCATTTAATATAGCTATATAGGACAAAACAAGAAAAGTTGAGGCTCTCTCCCTACATTTACTGAGATGCATACCATAATTGGTTTGTAGTAAAAGACATTGACATAAAATAAATAAAACTTATTACTATGTATTCTGTACTCACTTCAGAATAAGATGTCACTATGAATACTAAAGAAAGCTACTGGTATCTGTAATTGTGGCAATATTAAAATGAGGAAAGAAACTGGAAGTTCAACAAAAACACTGAAAACAACCAGTTCATTAACTCAGATTCTATCCCCAACTAGCATTCTTTCTTTATAAAGACATACTTCTTATTATAATGAAAAACTCTCTAGGAATTTTTTTTTCTTTTCCAGGTACTTGATTTGATCTACTAAACTGTATTAGAGAAAATATTCAGAACCTTTTAACTTGACTGTGTTAAATGAAAATATTTTTCTCTTACCTCTGTCTGCTGTTCTGGCAATTTCATGTTGTCAAAGATTCTGAAAACAATTCTAAATAAATCCTGCCACCAGTGTTTTTCATAAGTGTGGCCATAAGTTTTCATTATTTCGAACATTACTGTTAAACCCCTAAAACGATAGAACACAAGTGGACAGCTGTAATACAAAAAAGTATGCCACATCAGAATCCCCTCTTAAAATAGTTTTTAGAGGTCATGAAGCTACTAAAAAAGTTTAAAACTGGTTTTAAACTAACATAAGAGATTCAGTTTTAAGAAATTTCAACTGTAAAACTGGTTTCTTTGGGACGCATCATGTAGGAGAAAATTCCAAAGGCCTTGGCCTTAAAATGTTTTATTTCACTTTTCTTCCACTCCCACCCCATCATCCCAGCATTTTAAGATTGTAAATGAAATTAAAGATTGTGAGTGATCATCATAAAATTAGTTCAGGGATACTGTATGAGCAATTAAAGTGTTGCTAAAAGTCCTATAACTCTTTGAAAAAGATATCCCAGAAACCAAAGGAACTGATCCACTAAGACATTCATGTGGGCAGTTTGTTTCCTACTATAGTCCAGAGACAGAGCAATGCTTGTCACCCACGAGGCACACAATAAGTATTTACTGAACAAATAAACTGCTTAGTACCACATTCACTGTCTTTTGAATAAGTGTTAAAATTAAAAACTCAACATTGCCTTCCTGATTCCTTATTATCTTCCTCTAAATAATAATCCCTTCATGTAACCATTAAAAAGCTTGATCTTTTCTCTACATGTTACTTTCTTCTAGCAAAATAGGTATCTTTCCATTTAGAAAAAGGTTTATATTTCTGAGAAGACTGATGGTAAGCCAGAACCAAATGTTATCTAAAGACTCCATAAGGACTGGTTCGCAGTCCAGCTCATTTGCTGCTATGCTACCTCTGGGCTTAATTCATGTCTGGCACACAGCAGGCTATAACTAACTGTTAAATAAACGTGTAAAGTACATTATGGTAGCTTGGTCCTTCAGCAAGTTCACAGCAGTTATTTGATCCATAAGAGTTATTTGATCCGTAAGAGATACCTAATGTGTGTAATGAAAAGTAAAGGAACCGTAGTAAAGAAATTCCTGTGGAAGAAACAGACTCTCTTCTTTGGGAGAAGCCTGTTGGAATTCATTTTTCCCCCTACAATGGAACAAGGCTCCCTCTTCCTCCATCTCCTGAGCCTGAAATCCATTTCCTCCCACTCTAAGTAACTGGATGCTAACTCCCACAGCTAGGGATAAGGGGATGTGGGAATCCTGTTTCTTCCAGGCCCACAGAGCTACAGAGGTTTCCAAGGATTTTCACTGTTCAAGAAATCTTTTTGAAAGCAATACTTAAGTTGCTGGTACAGGGAAAAAGAGTATGTGAGACCCCAGGTTAATTAACCAACCCTCAATCTACAGAATTTTGAGGCAATCAAATAAGAACACATGTGAAAGTACTATGTAATTAACCTGTTATACAAATCATGGTATTACATTTTTCAAATGTAATCTAAATATCAGCCCTTACAAATCCTGGAATAAAATAAGAAAAAGCCATTACTGAACAAAGTTTACTCACATCTTTCCTCTCCTTTATCAACCAGAATACATATTTTCTCTTTAACAACTAGAACTCATCCATAATCTGATCATGGGATATGGCAAGAAGGAAAGCAGGATGGTCCCAGACAAGGACAGGCTCAAAGACTAAGGAAGCAGGAAGGTCCCCTCATCAAATAAATTTCTACAAAGAAACAAGGGCAGGGAGGGGGTGCTGAGTTTATATGATGTGTTGGTCGTGATATGTTAGCTGCTCCAATGATGTGGCTGGACAATTCAAAGTTGTAAATCTCAATAATTTAGTTTACATGAATCAGCGTCTATCTTGAATTTTATCAAGTTCCTAACAGGTCCACTGCCAAACAATTCTCAATGTCTAAAATGCTGTATAGTGTTCTTGTGATTATTAAATTCTATGACAAATTCCTAAGGTTTGAGTCCTATTTTGGATTATTTACCTAATTTTATAAAATTTCTCTTATAACAAATAAAAATGAAATTTCTTAGGATATGTATCAACTCCACCTTGGATGGGGATAAGGGTGGCTGTGGCATAAGAGGAGGAAGGAAAGGTTCATTCCTTCATTATAGTCCTATCGCTGATATCTTACAAGTCTCTATTTACTACCTTTCCAATTTAAAAAATCCAATAAAGTTAACTGCCCAAATGACTAATGATCCTCCCTAAAAAGAAGAGGGGATACATAAAAGACAGATTTTATTTAAACATATGATTGAACTCATGGTGTCTCAAGCACTTGTTGACAGGTAACAGGATACACAAATCAATCATTTCAATTTGGTAGTAAAAAATGTAGGATAAAAATTTTACTATGGGAGTGACATGAGCTGTAACATAAGAAGAGCATACTAAATGCTTATCCAGTTGCATTATATCCCTAATAGTTTCTTCACAAATGGACTATACATTCATATAGATCTTTTATTGAGAATATACTTTTGAAAGAGCACACTTCTTTGTTAATAGACCTGTATTATTCAAAACTGTGTTACTGACCAGTCTTCAAAGAGAAATGGTTCTTTATCTAAAGCTGACCAAGGACATGCATTGAGAAATTCTTCTAGCATTTGTCAGGAAAATAAATTGTGCCACTAACTTCAATTTTTATTTGGAAACAAATGTATGAAAAGACAGACTGTGTAACATTATTAAATTAACATAGAAGCTAAAACTCAAAGTGAAATGCTAGACTAAAATCTGAAGGAAAAGTAGTATTTCCATTTTTACTGTTGTTCCATTTAACATATTTTAAAATCTGCCTATCAAATATTACTATATTTGATAAAACGCATGACTTACGGACTTACGGCCTTCAACTACTGAACTTACATTCACAAAACAAAAATTCATTGCGGTCAAAACGAGCCTTTCAAAATTATAGTTACAAACACTGATTGTTACCTGGTTCTTACATCTAATTTGCATCTATTAATGATGCAGGACAGCTCGAAGAGGATTGGGAACCATCCTCTGACCCAAACCCTGTCTTCAGGCGCCACATTCATATCATCACTTGTGTACTCCTTGAAAGCCTTCAGGAAGAAAGGGAGATATACTTAAGGCAAAACATAACACCTGTATTATTTCTCCAAAAAATTTTTTAAATGCTTTACAAATAAGCAATTTGATAAACAATTTATAGAAAGATGGAGATTATAACTGCCTATGAAGAGCACTGCACTAAAATTCCAAAGTTGGTTTCAGCTTCAACTCTGTCATCAGCTTTTCTGTATTATTCTATTCGCCAGGTTAAATCAGGCTTGCATATTTATCATTTCCCTGGTTATGACACATGCAGCCTTATCAGCCGCCCTGGGAAGTGTGAAGGTCAAATGAGTCAATGTATGTAAAAAGTACTAAGCACCCCCATAGGTCCACATTAGTATGTAGTAAAAAATTTTACTACCAAATCTAATGCATCACTTCTCTTGATAATAGTTACAGAGATAGATTCAGAGACGCAAGTTAAGGTTGGCAGCCAGGTTGCCAATTCAATTTTTTACTCCAGTGCTTAAGTCCACACTCATCTATAGACAGACAGTCAACTTCAGTACCGCACAGCACCACATGCAAGAAACAGTATGGGCTAAAAGGCTAAAAACACAGGATTCGGTTCAAACCCTAGGTCTCCTTTACTAGCCCTGCAACCATGGACACATTTTTTTTAACTTCTTTGTGCCTCAGATTCCTTATCTGTATGGGGCTATAACACTACCTGTCCCATAAAGTTAAGAACATTAAACAAGTTAATACGTGTGAAATAGAAAAACACGTGACATCTTTAATAAATGACAGCTATCTCCCATCCAAGTACTAACTAGGCCCAATCCTGCTTAGCTTCCGAGATCGGGCGTGTTCAGGGTGGTATGGCCGTAGACTAAATGACAGCTATCATTACACTTGGAAAAACAAAGACCTGACACCTTTAATAAATGATAGCTATCATTACTAATCACTTAAGTCAGAATCAAGCTCAGGTAATTTTGGGGTTTACTGAAAAACGTTTCCTATCCCCTCAATTCCCAAATAAACTTTGATCTTAGACTGGAAATAAATACTCAGCAAAATTTTGTTTACTAAATGACACTATACCTGAGGTCTATCAGACACATATTTTGCACAATGGCGAATAAGTCGAATTGCTTCCATGCTTGTGTCTGGGAAAGCTGCATTGCACGCAAATTCAGACAAACACTTCACTGCATCCTGGAAAGAATCAATGGTCGCTGGAAAGTGTTTTTCAAACACAAGAGCTAAAAGGGTAAAAAATATATCAAAGTAATTTTAGTTTTTCAATTATTCTTAACTGCACCAAAAAACACCAACCCCCAGATGTAAAGCATACTTAAAGGTGAAGGGTTTTGATGTCTAACAGACATGGCTTTGTATCTGTCATTACTGTTTACTTGACTGTCCTGAGTAGTGGGGAGAGGGACACAGGTCTGTGTTTTCTTTACACTATAAACCCAGCACATAATACAGTGACAGTACACAGTACGTCCCGAATCAGTAGTTGTTGAGTTGAATATACAAAATTATGTTCAACCTATCTGTATTTCAGTCTCTTAATCTATGAAAAATAATGATGATCATCATTATCATCTTTCAGACAGGCTTAACTTACATCCTCAGTATTTAATTCTCCCTTAAGGAGGCTGTATAATGGAGTGGTCAAAAACCTCTCCCTGGCTTTGAATCCCAACAACTCCATCATGCACCTTATGCAGGTCACTTAACCTCACTGGGGCTGAATTTCCTGATCTATTTAAAAAGGGATAATGAAGACACTTCATTATAGAGTTGTTGTAAACATGGAAGGAAACACATTCAATGTGCTTACTGTTCTTGCCACAACGTAAACATTCAATAAATGTTAACTATGATAATGTAATAACAATATTACTGTCATTATGTACTCTGTTTCTACAGGCAAAACTTGGTAAACTTAAAACCCAGAATAGGCCCTTGATCTTACTTTTGTATTATTTTCTGAACACATTAAAGTTTTGTTTTCTTTTTTTAAACGTGAACTCAGGCAGAAGAATACTCACTGACAATGTGCCCTGTTGTTTGGAATGCAAGTTCCACTATGCTTTCATCTTGATCGGATGCAGCTAGATGAAACACAGAGAAAATGTTCTTCCATCCAGACCGAATGTTAGCAGCTTGAGAATTAACCATTTGTGCTATACACCGTACAACCATATCTCGAATTGTTGGAGACCTAAAATATTAATATAATTGCTTGGATATGCATATACATAAAACCCATCAGTTTTTTTTTCTCCTTTCTTCTGTTTTCCCCCTGCGGTGGAAAATAATAAGGTATTTTTCTGATATTAAGCAATTCAACAAATATAATACCTGTTCCGTTTCATTATATGTTCAAACGGTCTTAAGAAATCCTTCTGGAATCTGAAATTAGCAAGCTCCCCTTTCTCTAAAAACTTCATTGACAATTGCCTCAAGGAGTCTACTGCAAAAATAGCTACATCTTCATTAGGATTACAGCCAACCTGTAATGGCAACAGAAATATAGGGTGCTAATGTCAGCAGTGAAAATCTATTTCTTCATTTTTGTTTTAGAAAAAATATATGACTAATAGCACAGATAGGTAAATGCTGAAATTCTCCACAAAAGCACTAGGTGTACTAACAATATTTCTCAACAAGAAAAACATATTTTAACTAAATTCTTAAAACCCACAGCAATCACTTCTTTAAAAAAAAAAAGATTCAAAGGGTTTTCTAATTTTAATTACAAAAATGTAATTTAAAAAACCTAGAAAAAGAAAAAAGTCTCAATTACATTATAAGGAATTTTAACAACAAAAAACATTACAAATGTAAGCAAATCCTACAATTATTCAAATACCTTATTAAAATGATCGCCAATAACTTCCCAAATTCGAGACCACTGCAATCTTATTCTTCCCATGTTGTAATACGATATTTCTACTATTTTTTGTAGACTAAACATTCTTGGATGTGTAGTGGAAAGTAATTCATCCATAGACACGGCACAGAGCCAACGGACAAAATCCACTATAATATAAATAGATTTACATTTTTTTTAGCTTAACTTTCAAGTCTTTTAGCCAAAAAACCAATTTAAGTGAAATAAATGTATATACTTACCAATAGCATTTCCATCTAGTCTTGTAGAACCTGTAAATATTCTAAAGAAAAGAAACATAATTCAAAAATTTATAAAGTCTTACTTCTGTTATATCAATTCAAAAGTAAGTAGCCTGAGGTACTTGCTACTTTAAATCTGGTTTAAAGGAACAAAAAATCAGGTAGTCAAATGATATTGTTAACATATTGCTTCATAACAAGTACAGTTTGGATGTTCCTCTCTCCCTCCTTTGCATTTGATAATAGAATAAGAATGTATCGTTAATTTTATTAGTAGGCTTACAAACACTAGATCAACATGAGACTCTAAGATAAGGAAAATATCAATTTGTAAAACTAACTGATAATTGGCACAGTACAAAAAAGAAGATTTTTTCAATTTTTCCTGATTATCTACTAGCATTAAGCATGTTAAGATGAAAAATTCTTTGCTTTTACAAGTAACATACATTTGATTAAAACTCATTTATGTTAAATTACAAGCAACTTAACAGAAGCTGCAAATAGTCTCTAATAGTTTAACCAAGAAGTGGCTAAATAACATGTCCTGGAAAATTCAAATGTTTAGAGTTAAGCTGTGCTGTCCAGCTTTGCCCAGCTTTCTTCACTAAGGTTTTTATTTGTTTCAAAGTTTCATAAAGTATTTCAGCATAAACCTATTAGTCCTTTTAAAGTCTGCATTTTTACTGATGCTCTGGGTTTGTAACCAAGGGTCTGATGAGCCTTCCAGGGTGAACTGATATTCCTCAATTTACATTGTGTACCACAGGATTTGCATGGCAAAAAGGACACCTTAAAGGCAGAAGCAGGTCAAATATTAAGCTTAGAAATAAAAGTAATCTGGGGCATCTGGGTGGCTCTGTTGGTTAAGTGACCAACTCTTGGTTTCAGCTCAAGTCGTGATCTGAGATTGAGCCCTGTGTCGGGCTCTGTGCTTACTGTGGATTCTGCCTGGGATGCTCTCTCCCTCTGCCCCTCTCCCCCCACTCACCCTCTCTCTCTCTTTAAAATAAATAAATCTGAAAAAAAAAAGAGAAAGAAATAAAAAGTAATCATAGTAACAGTAATAGCTACCAACAACCACGAAGTGGCTGCTATTCTAGGTGTTTTATAATATAGCCACTCACTTAGTAATCACAAATAGCCTGTGAAGTAGGGACTGGTATAACTTCTAATTTTATAAACTGAGACACAAAGATATTTAATGAATTCCTCGAAGTCACAGAACTAGTAAGTCCTACAGCTAAGATTCAAACCAGGGTGGGCACCCCCCAGAGTCCACCCTCTTAACTACTTTGATATACCGCCTCACACTTACCTGAGCAAAACATAAAACATTTAAAATATATTCTGAAAGGTTTTTTTTTCCTACTATGTCCACTATATCCATGTTGTGAGTATATCATGATTTTTTAACCTCAGTGCCCTTGTATGTCTGTCCATGTGTCCTGGCAATGAGTAACAAATACAAGACAGGAAAAACAGCCTAAAAAACTGACATGACGACTCACACTCTGGTTCTCCTGCTAAAGGAATATTTTAAGATTTCCTCTATTGCTCGTCAGAACAAAATAGTAATTCAAAGATCTGGCTGAGAACATCATCTGGGGGAAAAAATAGCATAATACAGGCCCCGTTTAATTCAGTGGTTAGACTGGATCCAGAAATTAAAAATATACAAAGGCTACAAATTTCTCACATGAACAAAAATGAACATGGCTAGAATACACATTATAAATGTCATTAGGTGATTTCTCAAACTACAGGTACATAGGCAATGGCTATATAAAAAAAAAAATAATCACAGTGATAAAACTAAACAGTATATAGGAGAAACAACAAGAAAAGAGAGGAAAAAAAGAAAAAAAAATTCTTTAAACGGAGAAGGAAGCAAATGACAAAGAGTAGAGGGGTAAAGCGATGGACATTATATGCAACTACAGGGGAAAGAAGCAACAAATTCTCTGAAGGCCCTGAAATGATGGAGAACAAGGACAAAGAAATACCAGTAGCAATCAGACAAGTTTATAGACTCAGGGTGACAGAAGTTAGGGGGAGCATGCATCCTGAAAAAAGGCATTCAAATTCCTACTCACTGTGGTAGCCTCTGAGGGGTCACTTTATTTCTAGTAATGCTCCACTACAGATAAGCCATATGGTAGAGCATAGCAGTCTGTGGAGGCATTTAAAGTTAAGCCTTCATAAACTAAGGCAAGAGGACAGAGCTATGTTTCACAAAATCAGTCTACGAAATGGATTCTACATTCCTTGTATGAAAAGCAAAGGACGGATGCATGAAAATCTTGTGTGTTAATATTAAAAGACCTGTGCTGAAAAACTGTGAGCAGGAAAACAAAATGATAGATTACTGCTTCAGCCACAAAATGAAAAGCAATGCAGCAATACAAGAAAAAAAGTTAAAAAAAAAAAAGGTTGACAAAACCTGCAGATTCTGGACCACATAAACTTTAAACTGTATATAATACAGAGGCAAACTAAATTACTGTATATGTAAAAAGTTTTCACAGTGAAAATATCAGAGGTAACACTTATTTCTAAGACCTAATCCGAAGATATTTATGAGCAAATGCAGTTGGGGATGAGCTACACGTATTTTCTGAGGAGACAATGTTCCAAAGTGTGAGATGCGCCAATATAAAGCTAGATCTGGTGTGCTTAAAATTAGTAAAAACAAAAACTATGGTACTGTTTTTTAACTTTTAGTGGTAACTCATTCCTGGACAAAATCTATTCCTGCACAAAGTAGCTTTTAATAGAATCATATATTTTTTTTCTTAAGAAACAGAAGCTATAAATAAGCAAAAAAACAAACAACTACTTTAATTTTTTCATGTTTACTTCCTATACTTGTCATAACAGATTATTCAGAACAACAGACCTAAGGACAAGAAAATGACTTGTTACAAGACAAGTACAGAACTTTCCAGGATGATACCTAACAATATTCACACCACTGACTTGAATACCTAAGTTATCTGACTTAGCTTATGAATTTAGTCAGAATATTACATATGAAAATATACTCTAATACTGAGAAATTCAGAAGAAATTTAATAAGAAAGTGAAAAGTACCACACAAGAATATAATCCTATAGTAAATCAAAGATGTAACTTTTAATGCTTTTATTATAAGCTAAAATTTAAATGTTGAGGTTTTGTATAAAATTGGACATTGGATTTATGTTTGCAGAAGTTATCTGGTGATGATGAATCTGAGACAACAAAGTACTAACAGAATTTGTGTTAAGACCCCTCTAAAATACCTTAAATTCTTAAAATGGAGAGGCCTATCATTTACTCAAATGAGTGAATGTCTCCCTGCAACAAACAGTGCATAGATGGATAAATTAGAACTGGCTATGGTCATATAAAATATACTATGGAAATAAATAGTACGTAAAATGTTAACTCTTGTCTGAAGAGATTCTCATAAAGACACTGAAGGCAGGAAAATGATTTGGAAACAAGCTACCCTGACAACAGAAGGGCAGACATTATTACATGGCTCTCCAGTTGTACATGCAGGCAGAGGCTCGGTGGAGAGGGTAAGAATGTACATTCAAGAGACATGCTGCCTGAGTCTATGTCCTGGCACCACTCCTCAAAATTCTTTGTGGATGAAACCGTTATTGCAACAATAATCAAGACAAGATTAGTTGTGGGGATGAACAAGTTATTTAGGCCCCCTCTGCCTCAGTTTCCTCCTTTATAAACTAAGGACAATATTAATACTTATCTCATTAAGTTACTGGAAGTATTAAGTGATAAGTAATACCTAGGAAGTACTTTGAAAAGTGCCAAGCACATGGTAAGCCTTCAAGTTATACAGGGGGTCTAAGAGGATATGCAATCTTTCTTCAGCCTTCATAAGGAAAAGGCAAATGACCTCCTTCCCTTATTAAAAAAAAAAAAAAAAGGTCAGCAAGTGAAGATTAAGAGTTCTTTTCAAAGAAAAAGTTGCAGGGAATATTTCCAGGGTCAGTGGCCACTGAATACTCTAGCTCAGTCTGTACTTATAGCAAAAAGTTTTATCTGAAGTAAAATTCTGGATTAGCGTAAGTCTCCAAGCACCAAGAAAAAATACGTATTATATTTTGGACAGTTTCATCACAAGTAATAAAAAAATTTAAATGTCAGTGTTGTAAAATGTTAAGTTTCAAATATTTGGGCATTCATCTAGAAAAAGCTAATCTTCAAAAGAACATTTAGTACGGGTTCACTTTTAGAAAACAAACTAAAAATGAGGAATACTTGGTAATATATATACTATACAAACTCTGAAGTCCTTTCCAAAGAAGCTTGCAATGAGAATTGCCAGCAAATCCTTCACTTACCCATAATGCAATCTTATATCAAATAGGACTTGAAAGATTAACACTCCATTTTCATATAATAAGACCAATTAGTTCTCTATGAAGAAAATAAAACGTGTTCTTTTTCATCAAGATTACCATTTCCCTAATGTCCACTAATATCTATTTTAAGTTAAATTTTCATACTGTTTATCTCCTTCTTGTATTCCATGATCTAAAGAGCAAAATTATAGGTACTTCATCATCAAAATCACCATATATCACAGTATAGTCTTATAATAGTTAAGGAAAGTTATTTTGGCAATAATTTTTCTTTTTTAACCACTACGGAGCAAAATACACCTAAATGCTACAGAATTGAAACAGTATTCATTTGAAAAGGGAATAAAATAAATACCTTACCTATCTACAGCAACAACAACACTTTGAGAACTGGTTTCTCCGATGGATTCCTGAATACTTGCTATCTGCTTCCAGTCCACATTTCCTCCAACTACCACACATAAAAGAGAGTCATTTCAGTTTGAAAATAATTCAGTAGAAGAATACACTTATAGTTCTAAAACATATTTCTGAAAACAGTTATTTTCTTAATGAAAGAAATAAAGCTTTTGGTAAATAATGCTTTTGGCATTAGTGACCTATATCAAGGCCAAATGCGCTTCATTAGCTATACTAAGTGGCATATAGACATGGATGGTTATAAAGACAAATTGTGCTTCCAGAGATCAACAAATTAGGGGCACTGAGAATTCAGATCACAAAATTAATGACAGTAGGCATAATTTCCCTTAATGTTTAAGAAATAGCACTAACTGTAGTTCCAATGTTATCTTCTTAGGATGATTCCCAATTCCATATAATTAGATCTCCCTGTCATTCAATCTCCAGTTCTCTATATTTACAAATGCTTTTTGGAAATTTTAACTGTATTTTGTAGTATCTTCTTATTCAAAAAAATCATTTCTCTTTCCCCCTCAAAACTGGTTCCATATGTTGGACAGAACAATTTTCCCAGTTTTCGCTCTTAACCTCACAATCATCTTTGATATCTTTCCCCTCCTCCACGAGTTACTAAATCTTTCTTTTGATCTGTTTCTGGTGTCATTCCTTCATTTTCATTCCTACACAATGTAGAGCCTTATAATTTCAGGGCCAGATTACGGATAGTTTCCTGACTGCTTTCCCTGCTGCTAATTTTTTCCCTCTTCAATCTCTCTTTCTAGTCTCCTGTCAGGTTAATTTTTCTGTATCATCACATTCATTTTGCTGCCTATTACTTTCAGGATAAAGCATAAACTTTTTAAGCCTAGCATTTAAGGTAGTACTCTTCAACATTCTAGCCATTACAGAATCTATTCAGGCCATCCCTCAACTATCTAAAACCCAATCTGAGTTCTCAGGAAGGATTCCTCCCATTGTTCCTCTGAACTAAGCATTTACTTAAGTAAATAATAGTCAGACCAGGATTTTTTCCATACAGTTTCACATAAATTACATAAATGTTGCCTTCTCAGTACAATTAAAAGTTCCCTAAGGCAAGGAACCAGATCATACACATTTTTTTAATTGCTGTTATTTCTCGACGTCACAATATTAAGTCCAAAGAGGATGTTAAGAAATATTTGTTGACTCAACGGACCAGACACTCATTAAATGCCTTTATGAATACAACCATAATAGATTATATTATTTAAAGCAGCTAAATTCAAATTCTCTTCCAGGAACTGAACAGTGTGAAAAAAGATGTGATCCTTGACCTCAGAGAGTTTATAATTTACCAGGAGACACAGACTGAGACAGACTTATAACCAACTTTAGTAAAATGTAATAATTACTCCATCGCTGAGATAAACTAATGACATATAATACAAGTTTTGCTAAAGAGAACTAATTTTGGGAGGAGAAGGAGAACTAATTTTGGGAGGAGAAGAACAGGGTTATTAGCTCATGGAAAACCTTCATATATGATGATGCATTAATTCAAGCTGGACCTAGAAGGATAATCATGTAGAAAAGGAGGCAGAAGGAAAAGGAGCAGCATATATAAACTAATGGAAGGATGAAAGTAAACACCATGTTTTAACACACTTGGCTACAGCCATAATGGAGGATCTAGCTGGGGACAAAAGAGAAGGGACAGAACAGTAGTAGGAGATGAAGCTGGAAAGAGAGGGTAACATTAAAATGTGAAGAACCTTGACTGTTACTTTTAATGTATTGCTTTTGAAAATAGAGTAATATGGGGCACCTGGGTGGCTCAGTCGGTTAAGCGACTGACTCTTGACTCTTGATTTCAGCTCAGGTCATGATCACAATCTGGGATCGACCCTATTTGGCCTCACCACTTGGGAGGTAGACTGCTTCTCTCCCTCTCCTTCTTCCTCCTCTGCCTCTCACCCCTGCTCGCGCACATGTGCGCGCACTCTATCTCAAATAAATAAATCTCAAAAAAAAAAAAAAAGATTGAGGGACGTCTGGGTGGCTCAATCGCTAAGTGTCTGCGTTCGGCTCAGGTCATGATCTCAGGGTCCTGGGATCAAGCCCCATGTCAGGCTTTTTGCTCAGCGGGGAGCCTGCTTCTTCCTCTCCCTGCCTCCCCCCCGCTTATACTCTCTCTCTTGCTGTCTCTGTCAAAAAATAAAATAAAATCTTAAAAAAAAAAAAAAACTGAAAACCAGGAAAATAGACCTTTTAGAAGACTGACATAATGCAACCTATTTTTTTTTTTTTATTCTTATGTTAAGCAACCTATTTTCTGAAAGATAATTCTGGTAGTATCTGTAGAACACAGTGAAACAGGAAGAGATACTAGAGCTAGAAAGACAAATAAAGAGTCTATTTCTATAATACAAGTGAACAAGGACGAAAGCCTGAAATAAGTGACAGAGAACTGGAGTGGTTAGGGAAATAGTGTCAAGCAACACTTGAAGCACATTAGCACGTTACAGGAATTTAACAAAGAAAAGTCTATGAGAAAAAATAATGCCCATCACCACTAACTTCCTTTGTGTATTATCTGAATGTCCTTCCTAGAAAGCTTTTATTTTTATATTTAAGAGTTTTTATTATTATATTTAAATATAATAATCTGTAATCATTAAGAAATATATTTAGAGGAATCAAAAAAAATATATAAAATGTTTAGCAATCCAAGGAACCTATTTCAAAAACACATGAAATCTTTCGAAGATCTGTATAACACTGTAACATGACAGGCTAATAGTTTCAGCTTTACCAAACAAATTACTCAAAGCACAAATACTCAGATAAAGAACAAAGAGGTAGGAGTGAATATTCACTTAAGATTTCTATGGCCAAACCACTGAATTTTTAAACTTTGATATACAGTATGTATATAATTCTAATAATCATATGCTACTTGGGCGCATGGGTGGCTCAGTTGGTTGGGCATCTGCCTTTGGCTCAGGTCATGATCTCAGGGTCCTGGGATGGAGCCCTGCGCCGGGCTCCCTGCTCACCGGGAAGTCTGCTTCTCCTTCTGCCTCTCACTTGTGCTCTCTCTCTCTCCCTCTCAAATAAAATCCTTTTTAAAAAATACCATATGCTATGTATTCTTAATAATTAAAAGTTTCACGTTTCCAAAAAGTGGAAGTACAGACTTACATCCTATCAGTCAGAAAGTCACATAAACATATACTCAGTCCTATTAACGTGGTTACATGAACACTTGGAAGTAGATGCTATCAATAAAGGAGGATACTAATTCATTTTTAAAAACCATATATATACAGATTAAACAAGCTCGAATGTCTGGCCTACATCCTCTTCTAGCTTAAATTCTGACTACAGCATCCTGCTGAAGAAAACATCTGTTGCCTAAGTGATAGGGCACAGATGGACAGGAGTGGACATCTGCCACACTGGGCTAGTTGATAACTGATGAGAGGGCCTGAAGGGAAGACTCTGCCCAACAGGGGCCAAGTCAACAGACTGAATCCCTCTAGGATGCAGACTCAAAAATGAGAGACCTAATCAATCAGGAATGAGTGGAGAATGGAGCAGGCCCAAAAGAGAAATAGATGACATAAGATGAAATCTAGATAAAACAAGAAAGAGAAGTGGAAGAATATGGCTGGTTGCTTGAGTGGCTTGGAAGCCTGAACTTTTTATTTCATTTCCAGATCCAAAAAGTATTTATTTTTATGTAAATTCCCCTTTCCTGAAGTGAGAAGACAGGTCATCTCATATTCTTACAACTTAGGTAGCACAACAATAATGATTAATTTAATTTACTTTCAAGTATACTAGGAAACATTATCAGTAAGTATCATTATTTCTCTTATTTGACTAAAACTTTTAGAAGATAAAATACTCCACTGGTGTTTTATTTTTAGTGTAACCTACTTTTATTACTTGCCAAAATTAAGCGCTGGCAATTTGCACCTGTCATTATTTTAGCCTTCCTGTACTCCTATTTGGCTTTTCCCCACCCCACCCCCCAAACAAAAATGCCTTTCAAAAATTACTGAATCAATCAATGCACATTCATTTCACTTGTTGGTAAATATTTTTCATCTGTATCTCAGACTTCTAAGTGATATAAGTCACCATGAAGGTGCTCACTGGTTTTAAATTCTGCTGGGTCACCAAGTTATTAGGTCTATACCTTCACCTCCCAGAACCAAAGTATCTAAGATACAGCTGGGTAAAAGAACTGCACTGCTGGCTGCCACAGTTGAAATATCACTAGGAAATAACTGTCCCCAGGCCAACTTAAAGCCACACATGGTCCTGGTGTTTCTTCTTTCCCTGTGGATCATTTTTTCAAATTTAAAGGATTTTTTGGATTTCCTTACGTATTTTTACTGCAAGCAATAACAGAGAAATCACTAAAAGACAAAAAGATAAAAAATATCCAGAAATATAGTGCTAGAGTAAAAACCTTAAAAAGGTAAATATTCCTCGATCTCATCTCTTTCCTGCTCTTCTTAAGTCATGTCTCTAGATTTCTTGGATGGAAGTGGGGTGGGGAAAGTGGACAGAGAACAATCCACAAACCATCAATATACCAGCCACTGTGCCAAGTCCATTTATACATATTCTTATTTAATCCTAAGACCTCTATGCAGATATTACTATTAGTTTGCAGACGTGGAAACCAAAGCTCAGAGAGTTAAAGTAACCCGCACACAGTAAGGAAGATACACAAAAGAGTTCAAACCCCAAAGTACGTATTCAAAGCCAAAGACAGTCTAAATGCTGCTTCTTCCCTGGTGGTACTCTTCCCATTTATGATTCAAAATGTATTGTCTTTAGTTCTTCTGTAGCCATTCTCACTAATATTTTGCTTTGTTCTATTGGGTTAAATCTGGAAGTTCCTGGCCACACTGAGCAGATAAGGAACCATGGGGAAGTTTCTATACCAGTATAAGAGTCTGGTTAGGACTGCATAGTGCCTTTAAAAAAAATCTGAAAGTGAATGCTTTCTCCAGTTGCCCCAACTATTTATCATCTTATACAAGCCTTCACTCATTTAAGTTACCTGCTTAGTGTTAAAAATAGGTCATTTTAAATTGTACCTTTCTCCTACCCCCAACTATGAGATTTAGATTAAGGGCCACTTAATGCTGCAAACTAGACCAGGCAAAAATGGTCTTCTTGCTTTTCCCATAAGGTTAGCCACAAAGGGCATTTTATCATGTCCCTCAATTATATTTCCTTGCTACAATAAAGTTACACATACTGAACAAGAATCTTTGATACTTCATAAAAATAATTTTTAAAATTCTCACCTAGCCCCAGACCCACAAATTCATCAGGAGCCTGATCTTTTGTTCCAGTAAGAGATCCTTCTCTGCCCCGTACTGTTCCAGAAATGTATCGAGGTTTCACTCCAGTTCCTATAAGCTGTGCAAGCTCCAACTGACTGATGCACTTCAGAATCTTATAAAAAAAAAAAAAATCTTTTTAATTCCACATTAAAAATGATCGCAAAAATACTTAAATGTATGGAGCCAGGATTTAAATACAGGCTATATTATAAATCATTACAAAAACCTAAATAAACTTATCCTGAATATACTAAATTTTTTCCCAAACACTTAAGCATGTCAGTGGGCAGAATATTTAGCATTAAATCATTTTATAAACCAAACTGTAAAGTTGAAAATAAAGTGCTTATACCTCATGCCATGAATTTCCTAAATAATTTCCATCTGTATGGGCCACTGTGATAAGTGTTTTTATTGTATCAATGTTCTTCTGTTTCATTTCAGTAATACCAGAACTCACTGTAAGTAAGGTAAATCTTGCTAGTGCCTGGACATATGCATCTCTTTCCAGCTATAAAAAAGAGAAAAGTATACTTACATTGTTATAAACACAACAGAGTGATCTCTAATTCCCTATTGACAAACTGTTTACTTGTTTAAGTTTTTAACTGACAAATTACATACCTCAAACTACAGTGTTTTTATTTAAATGAATTTCTAAAATCTAAAGGCAATGGAGATGTCAAATCAAGATGAGATTTTAGTGACAACAAATAAATTCATATAGTAAAAAAATTCCTGGAGTGCTTATGTTTCAAGTACTGTGCAGACTAACAGAAATGTGATTTATAAATGTGCTCATTTTTTCTCTACAGCTAGGCTGTGCTTTTTAAGCCATAACATTCATAAATAAATGTGAAATGGGTTTAAAAAAAAAAAAAAGCAAGCAAGCTTTTTTTTAGCAAGGCTAAAATTTATTATCAAAGTATATAAATTACTAGAAGGGCCTGTCTTCATGAAAATTAAGTTCTAGATACTTGGTTCTCTTCAAGATAACTTTTCTTAGGTTTAAGTGAAATTATAAAGTAATATATATAAGCACACAAGTATGAAAAAATATGATTCAATAAGTATGAACCTGCAACATATTTAAATAAGATATTCAAATTAACATATAGAAATTCAAAGTCTTAGAAACTTTGGATATGGCTAATATTCTATAGAGAAAAAAAATGCTAACCAAAGTTATCATGATGAATTCCAGATGAACCAATATAGAACTACCCCTTCTGTCACAGTTTCTCAGAAACTTAAACATTAGATTCATTTAAATTCCATCATAAACTTGAAATTAGTCTTTAGTAAGTCAAACATAAAAAAATAATTTTAATTATAGTCATGACGTAAGTAATTTATGTTTTCCACACTGGCTACAAAGGCAAAATTCTTTGTTACCTGAATGCTGAAAATGCATGCAATTCTGATTGCACATCTTATACCTTCCAGGCAAAGAGAGGCTACTTCAGTATCATCACAATCTTGCAGACCCACACTAAACGCAGCCAGGAAAGGTGTCCAAGCCAACTAGAAAATTTAAAAATTTAAACTCTATCATGAATATCAAGTGATAATTAAATTTTATTGTAGTAATACATTAATATTTCTCAAAGCTTCAGACAAATGATTTGAGAAAATTCTGGAAAAAAAAAAGTAATGAGTTTTTTTGGGGAAAAAATACATAATATTGCCTGGGCTTAAATAAGAGGGACAGCAAGACTACAAATTCACTAGAGGACCTTAGGCATATTTTAAGTACAGCATCTATAAATTATTCACATCAATAAGAAACGGGAATTGTCACTATTCATAAATGATAGTAGTCTTACCCCTACTTTCAGAACTCATCTCTCTCTGCAAGCTTTAAAGGCCCTTGCAGTATTTCACAGACTTTATTTCTAAGAAAATCCTTTTAGTCATTTTCTACTTGCAATAATTACCTTATTCTTTTTTCTTTAAGCCCGCTCCCTGGACATCACATTTAGCCTTACTTTTTTTATAGTCAAATATTTTACACTGAACTATCAATGATATGTCTGGTTCCTAGTTGGACAATACTTAAAAAATACAGTTCAATAAAATACTTCTTTGTTACAAACTGCAAAAACCAACAAATACTAAATTTTACCAGTAGGTAATACTAAATACCTAATGTAAAACTGTAATGTAAATTAAACAAAAATGCCTTTGGATTACTGAAAATTCTGACATCAAAACATATGTGTATACATTGGTGTGTGCTTGTGTAACCCTGAATTGTCTAATACGAGTATTTGTTGCTTTTAATAGGTTCTAACGAAGCAAAAATACATATCCACATAACCATAGAGATGAAAAAGATTGATACCAGTGTACTGTAAAAATGACAACTGGAATTTTAAAAAGATCTAAAAAGTTTTTAAGATTACTAAGAAAAACATTACCCAAAGGATTACCCAAAGCTTTGTTTGTAACATCAGAAAGTTTAGAAGTAAAAGTATATAATCCCTAAATAAAGGAACATGTCACAGGACCTTATTTCTAGTCCTAGCTTTGCCACTTACTTAATCTCTCTGAACCTCATTTTCTTTCTCTTTAATACCTGGACTGCCACTATAGAGAGATGCTTTGGGAAGCGTATGAAATACAGTACTTTTAAAATATGAAGTACCACATGGAAGTAATAAATTACATGTTCTATTTTAAGTAGAGAAACAGCACATCTATTCAGAAACCTGTGCAATATTTTATACAAGAAGAAGTATAAATGTGAAAAATATATTTAACTCCATTAGGAATTAAAGACAATGATTTCTCCTATCGAACTACACCTAAATAATATCCAGGGGTCAGTGAAATTACCCATTCATACTGTACAACCCTTGGTTAAAATACAATTTGGCAATATTTAAAAAGTCCCTTAATATTATATCACATCTAGAAATCTTTCATTTAGTCTGGTACTTAGTCAATGCTTGTTTACTGAACACTACAAGCTAAGAACGGTGATAGATACTGGGAAAAGTGAACATTACATAGTCCCTTGCCTCATGGAACTTAAAGTCTAGTAAACAGATATTAAATTTTAAAATAAGTAAATGTATAAACACAAACTGTTATAAATACAATGAAGGATAAGCATAGCACATTATGAAAAAGGACCAAATTTGGATGGTGGGGGTAGGGTAGACCTGTCTGAGAAGGTAACATTTAAAGCTGAAACCACGTGGGCAAAGAAGGAAAGAGCATTCTAGACAAAAGACACAGCTTGTAAGAATGCTTTGAAAAGAAAATAATTTAGGACATTTCTAGAAACTGAAGGAATGCTGTGTGACTGCAGCCTAGTAAGACCGAAGAAATCTAGCAATGAGGCTGGAAAGGCAGTTGGAGCCAGACCACGCAAGGTTACAGATGTTGTGGATGTGTTAATTTCATCATAGTATCATGCAAAGTTAGTGAAGGGCCTTAAGGAAGAAGGCAACATTTCTTTTTGTATTTTAAAATGATCATTCTGGCCTCTGTAAATGGATAAGAGGAGCACAAAAATAGACCTAAGGATACCAGTTAGTACACTACAATAATAAGATGAGAAATGAGGATGTCTGGAGAGGTTAATGGCAGTAGAATGGTGATAAGAGGAAAGATTCTTAATGCCAGCTTAGAAGATGTTTAAAGAACTAATTTAGAGAATAAATAAGCTATTTATGAAGAATTTTTAATGATACAGGGAAATACTTATTATGAGAGAAATAGCAAGATACAAATTCTACACATAATATGGTCACAATTATTCAATTAAGATTAAAAAAGTAGTATATGAACATATCAACAGAAGTTTTTTCTGAGTGATAAAATTGTGGCTGGTTTCTTTTTTTTTTTTTTTCATTCTCTACCTCCCCCAAACAAAAAACATTTGAGAAGAAAAACAAGAGTGTAAGACTATTCAAAACAAAACAAAAAGCTGCTTTATAAAATGGTTCATAATAGGGCGCCTGGGTGGCTCAGTTGGTTAAGCGACTGCCTTCAGCTCAGGTCATGATCCTGGAGTTCCTGGATCGAGTCCCGCATCGGGCTCCCTGCTCGGCAGGGAGTCTGCTTCTCCCTCTGACCCTCCCGACCCTCCCCCCTCTCATGCTCTCTCTCTCTCTCAGTCTCTCTCTCAAATAAATAAATAAAATCTTTAAAATAAATAAATAAATAAATAAAAATAAAATGGTTCATAATAAAGAGAAAATGTTTCTTGTATTATTTTCTGTATTATTTCAAAAGATAAGGCTAGTCATACTCCACTATTCCTTCTAACAACGCCTCCCCCAGGCCCCTCTCCCCCATCCTACAATTCATCAACTTTTGGAAATAACATTATCACATAGACATTGAAGTAGAGGTAGAACTATAAAACTTTAGAATGAAAAGAAAGCAATCTTGTAGTCATCTTTTACTGCCCATACACATATGTGTACTTCATATCTGAATGAGAACTCAAATTATAATCTTTAGCCTCCACAAACCATCCTACCACACCGTCCCACAAACTGGAATGTACTTTATCCCTTCTCCCTTTTCAATCTCGACTAGACTCTCCTCTATTTCCCTGTAATCCTTATCGATTCACTGCTTACTTACTCTTGCATTCAGAGAAAGGATAGGAAAAAAGAACAGGAAAATGAAGAAGGAATAGGCAATCAAATTTTAAAGAACCACTAGGTATCATTCTTACTAGATCAACCTTTAAACATAAATAACGCTTGCTTTTGTTCCTCACTCTACTCTTTGCACTCCAGGTATACCCAGAACCCTCATGTGAGTTCCTGGCCAGAAGTTCAAGATCACTTTGAAATTTCAGGTAACTCCAAAGGTTTAAATAGAACTTATTTGGAGAAAACCAGGCCAAAAATTAATGATCATTCTCTGAAATCCTCCCATTCTTATTTCTTAAGGTCACACACTTATTAACTGCTGATAGTGTATACCTTTTCTCATTCTCTTTAAGAAAAAATTTATATTTCCTATATCCTAAATAGCATTGCTTTTGCTTCCAGGTCTATACTAATGGGCTATAATCACTGTATTTCCTTAACTTAAAAACACACTGAACAAAGTTACATATAAATGTATACTGCAACCAAAAGTTATTAGTAACTCTTACCTTAAACATGGGTCTCACATGCTCCAAATGTGTTGCACTTGTAAAAGGTGCCTGAACATGGCTCACGGCTTCCATGAGTGCTTTTGCTGTCTTGGCCATCTGTTCCATTTCTAAATTATACAGAAGCCTTCTTTGTTTTTCACTGGCTACATCTGAAATAACAAGCACTATTAGCATTTAAGATATAAAGCTTTTTAAATGCTTTTTTACTATAAAATAATAAATACCACCAATTAATACTAATTAGGTATAGTCTTAAAAAGCCAGACACAAAAGGTCACATAAGGTGTGATTCCATTTATATGAAATACCCAGAGTAGGTAAATCCATAGAAAAAGAAAGCAGACTGGTGGTAGCCAGAGGCTGGTGAGAGGGAGGGAATGTTAAGTTTAATGGGTACAAGGTTTTATTTTGGGTGATGAAAATGTTTTGGAACTAGACAGAGGTGGTGGTTGCACAACAATGTAAATGTACTAAATGCCACTGAACCGTTCACTTCAAAATGTTTAATTTTATGTTATATGAATTATACCTCAAAAATGGGGGGAAAATTCCTGAACTAAGAGCTGGGGATAAGTGGAAAACCTATGAGAAGGGAAGAGAGTAGGTATAAATCTGTCACAGTGGAAGCACTAGGGAAACAACCCATTGGATGGGAGAATAGGAGGAGACAGGTAGAAGGCAAGGGGATCCTTGGATGACACAGGCTTGAATGACAACTCCTGAGTTAACAAGAAAACAGTAATCCTAACATTCCGGGAGGACATCAGTATTTCAGTACACCTACAGCCTTCCCATCTCCTGCTTCTCATTGATACTCTACCACCATGGACAAATTAGGCCAGAGAAAAGGAGGATAGGAAGAGGTTTTATTATGGGTCTGAAGAAGAAAACTGAATCAGAGAATTGGCATCTACTCAGGTGTGAAAATGAAGTCTTGAGCAACATATTTAACAACGTTATAAGGAGAAGAGCTGAAAATAATACAACCAAGTAAACTGCTGATTGGAACTGGACTGCAAAATGAGCCAAAGACACTAATTCAAGATTTAGCTTTGCCACCCTGTGGATTTTAGCTGTAAAGATTTAATATAAGTTTTTTACATTATACTCAGCTTATAGATTCTATGATTCTAAGTTTTCTAACCTCTCTGGACTTCAGTTTCCTCATCTATAAAATGAAGGGAGTATTAAAACTCCTTAGAATCATCTTCTACATTATTCCAAAAGATAAGGCCATTTATATTTCACTATTCCTTCTAACACCTCCCTAGCCCCCGACTCTCATAATTCTTTATCAACTTCTGGAAATACACATATCACATAGGCCCTTGTTCCTCTCCTGTCAATAGAATTGTGCTACTGCAACCTGTTCTGTGAGATAAAGCTTGAGATTTCATTTCCAGGTGGAGTGTTCAGAAAGGCAGGAATCTTCTTTCCATATTACTGTTATATTCCTGAGCCACTACACTCATCTTATTTTATAGTCAGATTTTTAGCTCTAATTTAATCACCACTATCCACATGTATAGAATGTTTACAATGGAGACAAGCCCACAGTTGGCTTCTCATGCTGGTTAGATCTACGACCTCTATAATGATATAATTTGTGGTGCATCTGAAGGAGTGATTTCCAACTTCATGAGCTCCCTCACAATCCTAACCTTCCCCATCTCCTTGAATCATCCCTACTTCCAGCTTGTGTTTATGTGTAGCAATAGATGAACAGATAGAATTGTGTTGCTTGTAGATGGTGAGGAGGAAGTAAAAGACTGAGAGCTGAAGTGTGACTAGTGGGGCTGCCTAAGCAGTCTTGCTGACGTCCAAATCCATGCTGAGATTTACTGCTAAATTGACAAGTATATATTAAATGCACATGAATCCATGCAAATTATATAGCATTTTCTGTTGATCACTGGTCAGTGCTATTTTTACTCAGAATGTGGAAAAAAAATATAACCAGATCAGCCAACTGTATATTATTATACTTCTCATTAGAATAGTATCTGATTTACTCTAAACCAAGTGAAAAACTCTTAGGAAACCCTATTTTTCCTCCTGAACAATCAGAATTCAATTGATTTGGATACTTACTCTGCTTACTTGATTTTGTAGGGATTGTGAGTTCTTTTGTTTCTTTCATTGATATCTTTTTTCCAGCAATTTCATTATAGATAGCTGATAGATACTCTTCCGGAAGGTCTTTACTGTCATTGATACCTCTATTCATCTTAATGTACTGTTCCTTTGTCATTTTATTTTTAACCTAGAAATGAAAAACCATTAATTCTTAAAACTTACTTAAAAATTACTCCTATTTTAAGAATATGAATTAAAATTTATAAATACTTTGAGGACAGGAAGGGGAAAATATTCAACAAAACATGTATTAAAATGAAAAAAGTCATAGAAAATGAAGGCAATGTAGAAAAGACCTAGCCTGGTATATGCTAATACACCTTCTCAGATGGGTACATAAATAATTTATAATAAGAAACAGGGAAATCGAATAATGAAATTATTTATTTTTGCCCAAGGTTTAAAAAAAGAACCATGACAACTATTAAAAACATATGGTATCAAAAAGATTTAAATCTTAGTTTGGGAAAACATAAATATGTTGTAATGATTTAAAAGCTGATTTTATATAACAGTGGATGCAAAGTAACAGCTGAATTCATTTAAAATCAGATAACAATCTCCCCTCCCTGACTGACTCAGCATGGTAAATGAATGTTAGGTGATCCAGGTGAAGTAGCCTTTGAACATTCTGTCTTAGAATAGGAATGTCCTGCAGCATACCTTGATCAATCTGTGGAGTAATAATTTGTAGTTTATAAGATACAGCCCTGTCACCAAACTTGAGAGCACAGTCAAAATGTTTATATCTCCAAAAAATCCATGTAGGTCTTACGACGTCTCTAAAGATACAGGCATACCTGGGAGAAACTGTGTTTGGGTCCAGACTACCACAATAAAGTGAGTCAAATAAAATTTTTTGGCTTCCTAGTGCATATAAAGTTATATTTACCCTAAGCGTGCAATAACAATATGTCTAAAAAAACAATGTACATACCTTAATTCAAAAATACTTTATTGCTAAAAATACCGTCATCTGAGCTTTCAAAGAGTCATAATCACTGATCACAGATCATCAGTAACAAATGTAATAGTAATGAAAAAGTTTGGTTTATTGCGAGAATCACCAAATTGTGACAGAGACATGAAATGAGCAAATGCTGTTGGAAAAATGGTGCTGACAGACTCGCTTGATGCAAGGTTGCCATAGACCTTCAATTTGCAAAAAATAAAACGAGGTATGCCTATATATTTATTCTATTATATATATATTTCCACCATCTCCCATAAAGAATTTGAAGCAACTCCAAACGTAAGACTCCTCCTGTAAATTTATAAGGTACACAGAGTAATAAGCAAGTCATAACTTTAAAAACTCATCTTGAGTCAGCACTTAAAAAAAAAGGAAAGAAAGAAAGAAAGCCATTTCTCCTGGAGTTCTGATAAATACTAAAAAACAGTAACTCAGAGACACTAAAATAAAAGACCATACAAGTGCTGCCAATAAGAGGCTAAAAGAAGATTAACATCACTTGGAGATCTTGAGCATGCCATATTGTTTTAGCATCATGCCAAGCAGAGACAAAAAGAAGTCTTGATAAAAATCTGAAGTAGCAGTATAATATACTTGTGGGTCTGGGCTGGGAAGTGGGAGTGGGAGCTCCCAGAAGTGGGAGTAGGGAATACGTGAATTTCAGATACTCTGAATAAAAATATACTGCTCAAACAGAACAATTCTGCCACAACGGGATTCTGAAAGTAGGATAAAAAAAACATAATCCTACTTTTCTTTTCCTCCTTATCTTTTATGGAACACTCCATTCTTAACTTTTGTTTTCATGTGCGTATGTTTTTTTTAAAAGATTTTATTTATTTGACAGAGAGAGATAGCAAGAGAGAGAGCACAAGCAGGGGGAGCGGCAGGCAGGCAGAGGGAGAGGGAGAAGCAGGCTCCCCGCTGAGCAAGGAGCCCAACTCAGGGCTCGATCCCAAGACCCTGGGATCATGACCTGAGCCGAAGGCAGTCGCTTAACCAAGTGAGCCACCCAGGCGCCCTTCATGTACTTATATCAAGCTGTGTTTAGTTTTAGTGTTTAAGTCACTTCAAGCCAGTTGTTACTATGATGGAGATTAATATACACAAAAAAAACTAAATGTGTTCTAAATATATACCTCAAATTTTAAAATAATTCATTGACTCAGACAATCTATAAAAACTAGTCTAATTGTAAATATTCTAGGTGAAACAGAAACAAAAATGACTTGTTTAAATATTTTAACTTTGAAAACAACTAAGAATGAAAAGACCTAGTTCTAAGGAATTCCTTTAAAATTTACCCATGTTCTTTTCAAAATGATGTCATTTGTTACAGTTCATGTGGTCTTGAATCAAATCATATGGGGTCATGATTATGGGTTCAGTTTTCTAATTGAATTTTCCTTCATAGAAACTCATAAGCTGTTCTGTACCTGCAGGCTGCCTATCAGCCAGCCAACAGTAGTCTGAGAGGGAGCGGGAAGACTACAAGCAATTACCACTGCTAGGCCAGGACTCCATGCACATGTTCTATGGGCAGAAACAAGTGCCATGAAGACAGAGCACTGTTCTCAAGTTGTTTCCTAACTAATCTGTGTTCAGAAACTTTTAACAATCTGGGTACTATGAAAGGACATTAAAGGATGTTTTAATATTTCCTCAAAATAACTTAGACAAGGATGTACATATGTATGGGAAGATATGACACAGATGCAACATTGATAATTCCTTTACAGAACCAAATTCTTTAAAAATATAACATTTTAAAAACAAACGGGTAGTAGTGTATTGGTTTGGACCAAAACACCAGACAGCAAACTCTGATATGAAGATATCCAAGTAAGTCAGTATCTGTAGACAGCCTTGTAACACCATGGAAAAAAGTATACTGCATAAAAAAAACCTGAAAGGGAGCTGCTTTAACTACACTGCCAGTAATATGCCAAGGGCAATTTTTATTTATTTTTTTAAAGATTCTATTTATTTGAGAGAGAGTGAGAGAGATAGTACATGCAAGAGAGCACAAGCAAGAGCACGAGCTGGGGGTGGGGGAGGGGGGTGGCACTCTGCAGAGGGAGAAGCAGATTTCCCGCCTAACAGGAAGCCCTACATGGGGCTCGATCCCAGGACCCTGGGATCATGACCTGAACAGAAGGCAGGCACTTAACTGAGTCACCCAGGCACCCTGCGAAGGGCAATTTTTAAATGATTAAAATATTAAATGACCTTTTAAGAAATGTCTATATAAAATCAAATAAATCGCTGGTGAATGCATAGTTGCTGAACTCTGATGTTTAAATCTAAGGGTAATTCTGTATATAATCCCCATGATACATTTGATACATACTTTCCATATCAACCCTGCCTTAAGCATCTCAAAACACACACAGACAAGTCCCTACATTGCAAAGTTTAATCTCAACCTTTAAATAAATTTTAATTTTTCCAAACCTCTAAGATTAGTAATAGTTTATTTCATTTCCTAAGAATAATAAATTTCATTAGATGCCTATCCCTAAGAAGTATGAAGAAATTCTTTCAAATAGATAAATGTATAAAGGTAATTTTCCCCAAACATATCAAAGCATGTTTTTTGAAACAAAGTATAAAATACCTAAAACTTTAAAAATAATTTTTTGCTAATGGATATCAGAACTCAAGTGACAGTTCCTTAATATTTAAGAAAGAGTTATGAATTTCAAGAGGCAAATGAATATCTCAATATCCTAGGTATCAACACTTTAAAATTATTGTTAATTTTTAGGTGCAATGGTATTGTGGTTATGTTTAAATAGAGTATGTGTCTTTCAGAGATATACCCTGAGATAAATACAGATGAAATGATATGACACCTGGTATTTACTTCAAAATGATCTGGGAGAGAGAAGATACAGAATGAAGACTGGCCATGGTTGGTAACTGTGGAAGCTGGGTGATGAGCACAGGAAGGATTCCCATACTAACCACTCTACTGCTTAAGTTTGAAACATTTAAAAGAAAAAAAGTTTATGTATAGTGTTCTTCTATGTTGTAATAAGTATAGGCAGAAGAACTAATACATATTCTTAAAATTTATCTTAAGCTTTATACAGCTATCCATCATGAGACAAATACAGACTTATTTTACAGATATCTGAAAGTCTAACTAGAATTATTACCAGAAACTGCGTTTTTTGTTTTTTTTTTTTAAACATTTATTTATTTAGAGGTGTCTAGGTGACTCAGTTAAGCGTCTGCCTTCGGTTCAGGTCATGATCCCAAGGTCCTGGGATTGAGCCCCACAGTTGCAGTGGGGGCTCCATGCTCAGCAGGCAGTCCGCTTCTCGCTCTGCCTCTCCCCCTGCTCATGCTCTCACACTCTCTCAAAAAAATAAAATCTTAAAAAAAAAAAAAGATTTGAGGGAGAGAGAGAGAGAAAGAGAGAGCACTCCCATGAGCTGAAGGAAGGGCAGAGGGAGAGAGAAAAAAAAAATCTTAGCAGGCTCCCTACTGAGCGTGGAGCCTGACACAAGGCTCCACCCCAGAACCCTGAGATCAGTACCAGAGCAGAAACCAAGAGTCAGACACTCAACTGACTGAGCCACCCCAGTGCCCCCAGAAACCACATTTGTAAAATGAACACTACACCAAATTAAATACCCCAATCTGGTGACTGGTTTCACTGAATAAGATTAAAATTTCAACTCTTACTGAATTCAAAAGCACTTATTTAATTTGTACTATCTATCATACACAGTACATACCTGTGGACTGTGAAGATCTGTGGTCAGCATGATAATTGAATAAGCCAAAACATAAGCAGTATCTGCACTAGCAAAAAGGGTTTGTCTGGAAAAATAAGTGTATCATGTTACAAACTTTTATTGTTTTACAGTTGCATTTAAATAAATCATCTCAAACCCCCATAATTTTCTCTTTCAGGATTTATGTTCTAGCTCATACTATAGTGTTTTTATGGAATTGTCTTATCACTTCTAGATCACAATCTAAATTCTCTGGGTGTAAGGAATGATGAATCTTCTGATGCTCCCTGCCACAGTGTCTTGGATATAGCTGGCAACCAATAAATACCTGAATTTGAATCTTGCTTACCCTTGGTTGCATTCGAGGTATCTTGCAGCAAATTTTTCCATCAATCGATCAATTTTCTGAGCTTCCCCTGGAAGACGGAATCCTTCCAGAAACATACGAAGGGCTGAAACAAAGTCCTTTCCTGAAAAGTCATGTTGGTCCACATATGCATACATGACTTCTTTGTTAAATTTATCATTATCTCCCAGGAACTCGCCCACTTGAGTCTAAAGAACAAAAGATAAAAAAACTGATATCCTAATGAAATGTTACATTTGTCACAGAGATTTAAAGAGCAGAAAAATCTGTAAGATTCACAGGTTTTGACTACAGGGTTAACTATTTCAAACGTGAAACTAAAAGTTAAACACACTAAATGTGTTTATTAAAAAAAGATATCCTTTTGAGTTTAGAAAATTAAAAAGCAAAATTAAGAATACCTAGATTATTCTTTGTAAGTTTTACTTACATACTTAGGAGGGCACTTTTAAAGGGGAAACAATATGTATCATTATTAATTTAAAAAGGAATTGTATAGAGAAGGTTAGAATAAAAAAATGGGTTTTCTTACAGAATCTAATCTTTCCTCTTGATGTAAGAATTGGGCAATATCTTCAGGTGTAGTGCCAAGCATCCCTTGTTCTTGGAGGTACTGTATTCCTCTCTTTGGTTTCTTATTAAATCTAGATGATGTTAAAGTTAATACAAACATTAGAAACAGAAAATCATTTGAAAAGAAGATCTTAAACTACCGTAAATTAATTTTCTAATACAACTTAGCAAATAGTTTATTTAATATAATCAATGCATGAATATACAAAACTTTTTACATTATCCAAAGTTTTATTTTTCTTTTCTTAGAAAAGAGTCTGAAGCAAAAGGCCATGATATGGACCATTTCACTATTTGAGATAATGTCATGTTGTAGATAAGCTCTGAGTAAGGATATAAATACTAAATATCTCATGCTTTTAATATTTATATTTTCCTTAATGCTCAAGTAATCTTGGTTCATTCCATATACACCCACTGATTAATTCTGTTTCCTGCTTTTAAAGTAAAGAATTCTAGTGACTGTTTAAGAAGAATCTGACAGCATCATTTCCTTTATTAAAAAAATCCCTAGATACCCAATGTTTTCAAAGTCAAGTCCAAACTCACTAGATGGATACACAAAATCTTTCTCAATACAGCTCCAAACTGACTAGATGGATACACAAAATCTTTCTCAGTACAGCTCTAGTTTATCTCATCCCCTCCCACCCACCTACTCCCACATATCCTATTCTCATTTCTTAAGCAGAATGCATTTCTGCAGTCTATTTCCTCCACACGGCCTTTACTTGCTCCATTCACTGTGGAACTCTCCTTCATGCTTACAGATCCAGTTCAAAGGTCACCTCCTTGTTTCCACATCATTTACCTTCTACTTTTATTACACCACTAATTACTTTGGTCCCTCATCACCTGTCACCTGGGTAACAGTACTTAAATGGTCTTGTTATCTTTTGTTTTGCTCACATTCTAATCCATCCTTCAGGCTACTGGCCAAGTAATCGTTCCAAAAGAGAAATCTGATGCTACTCCTCCTCTGACTAAAATCCTTCAATACTAGTATGCCAAAGTCAAGAAAAACAAGATAAAAATTTGTTTACATGGAGAATAAGGCCTTCTGGAATCCGGATCCAACTCAATGCTCTCATTTCATCTCCTGCGACTGCCCCCCGACCCTGCCTTTGCCATGCTGAGCAACAGTCCTCAATGTTCCTCTCCTCTGTGCTGCGGCACATGTCATTCTCTTTGTCTAAAATGTCCTTACCTGTCCTGTCCTAATGATCCTGTCAAGTCCTAATTCATACCATAAATTAAAATCAAACATATTTCACTGAGATAAGCACAGTCTCTGCTCTCTAGAAGCTCTCTCCCTAATAAAATAAACTTGATTTTTAAAAACTGTAATAGTAAAAATGCAACAACTAATGTATTGACAAGGTAAGATAGCACAGAAGAGGAAGTAATGAACAGAGATGGCTGTGACATATTTCCTGGGGAAGGTGACTGTGAAACTGAGCTTTGAAGAAGGACTACATATTTCATAAAAAGAAAAAACATCTCAGAGAGGAAGGGGTCATATTAACACACGGCAGCATAAAACAGCAATGACATGGTAACAAACAGCTCTGCATTGTTGGAAGGATGAAGTGAGCCAAAGAAGTGGCAGGTGATGAAGCTTAGAGTCCAGCAGACCTATATCATGAAAGTTATTATATCCTATTACAAGAAGCTGTGACTTTATTGTTTAAAAACAAAAGGGGGGCAGAAACAGAAGTTGGCTTTCATTCAAGAGAGATCACTCTAGCTAAGTGTGAGAAAAGACTACAGAATAAATAAGACCAAAGAAAGGTAGGCCAATTAAAAGATTACATGAGTCAAGGCAAGAAATGGTGTTGGTTTGACTTGCGAAAACAACTGTGGGAGATGGAGAGAAGAGATAAATAGCATAGATATTTAGCAAGTACAATCAACAGGATTTAGCGACAGACTAGATCCAAAGGGAAAATATAAGTAACTCCCAGGATTCTAGCTTTTTTTTTTTTTATTCTTATGTTAATCCCCATACATTACATCATTAGTTCTAGATGAAGTGTTCCATGATTCATTGTTTGTGCACAACACCCAGTGCTCCATGCAGAACGTGCCCTCCTCAATACCCACCACCAGGCCAACCCATCCTCCCACCCCCCTCCCCTCTAGAACCCTCAGTTTGTTTTTCAGAGTCCATCGTCTCTCATGGTTCGTCCACCCCCAGGATTCTAGCTTTTAAATTTGGTAGCATGCTGGGGTTACTAGCCTAAATAAGAAATACAGAAACAGTAGTTTTCTATTTGTCTTTTGTTTTTGGTTAGAGTATTAGGGAGTTGATTATGGAGAGAATGGAGACTGATAAATTTGGTTATGGACATACTGAGTGTGAGAACCTAAGCAATATCCAACAGAGATGTCCAACGGGCAATTATGGACATGAGTCTAGACTTCAGCAGAGGTATTTACATTAGAAGTAACACTGGGGAGTGGTGACATGCTAGCACATACATAGTAGCTGAAGTCATGAAAAAGAACATGATCATCTAGGAGAAATTACAAAGTAAGAAAGGGCTGAGGGACAGAACTCTGGAAATGCTAAGCTGTATGCAGGAGATAAAGAGCCCACAGGAAGACTGAGATGGCATGATCAGAATGGTAGGAGAACAAGACAGAATGGTGCCACAGTCATGAAAGAGTGTAATGAGAACATAGCAACATGAAAGCATTCTCATGAAAGTATGAAGCAGAGATCAAGTCCAGGGGCTGAAAGGCCGACTAGAGACTAAGGAGCCCTCCGCTTTGCAGTCCTGTGACGGCTCCAACTCACTCCCAAATACTTCAAAGAGAGTTATCATATCTTGGCAGCACTTTGTATACGATTATGGACAATACATGGTATTATTTTAGAAAAACACTTTTGCCCCATATTTAGGCTGTAATCTTAAATACAAGAACCAATGCTTTCATGGTTCTTGGCACACAGTCCCAAACACCAAATATATGTTTGCTGAGTAACACTTGCTGAGAATTTCAATATGAGTATCTGATTACACATACTAGACCCTGAGTCCCTTAGAAGCCATGGCTGTTTCCTTCATCAGGTTTCCCTAGGACCTTGCATAATGTCAGGAACAGATGGGACTTTGATAAATATTGACTGAAAAACTGGAATGAATGAACTATTAATGGCTCTTTCCTGAGGCAATTTTGTGAGATTTTATAATTTTATGACAATATACGTGCATACATTTTGCCTTTTTTTGGGAACTTGAACGTTCACCAAAAGGTACTGTTTAAGAGTCAGAAGAAATGCTTTACAGGAGAAGTAGCAAACCAGGTAAATATACAAGGGAATTTTTTAACAGTTTACAGTAGCTAGATCCATGGAGAAATGTCAGCAACTTCATGTTTCCTTCCAGTTTCTCTTTGAAAAAGATGGGCAATTAGAGGAATGAAAGCAGCATGGTACTATTTGGATACGAAATAGTCCAGGAGCAGGTCAATGCCATACAGCTTAGTGGGAAAACTGACTTTACAAGATCTGGGTCTGGTAGAGTAGCCAGGTTGGAAAAGGAGGTTATTACCTTATCAACATATAAAACTGAAATTGGTAACAATGGATCAGTAACAAGAGTAGCACATTTGTAACCCAACTGGAGAAAATATAAAACCTATAAAAGGAGCAATGAGAAGCTAGCTATTAGAAGTTTCATATTGTAAATTTTTTACTTGTCATCTGCTTAGGAAATATAATGGGGGATTTTATAACTGAGCTACTAAATGAACAATGCAAAACTACTGAGATGATATTCATCAACAGTATGTAAGATATGCTGCAAAATTAATTTAATGTGCATTATAGGGGTCTCTTGGGCTAGACTGCAATAAACAAGGAGAGCTGAATAATGAGCCACTAGAAGTCTTGGATACAGGAGACCTGTGCCCGGTTTTACTCAATGAAAGGTGGTAATGAGAAAGGAACAGAAATATTCTGAAGATGTAGAGAAACCCAGGGCAAGGGTGATACAGTACTAGCAAAAGGATATTCAGTAACATTTCTTCTTAAAATTGGACACTCACAAATCTATTCCTTGTTCTATTATTTCTTTTTGTTGCTTTAGGACTTCAAATTGTTCTGGATTGTCAGTACCAGACATCTGTGTACTGTAGCTGCCTATTCCTGATGATGATGTTGACTCCAAGGAATTTAAACTTCCATATCTGTTTATTGTCTCAGGGTGTTTGATTTCACTCGTCTCTTGCTCTAAGGTTTTTTCCTGACCTGTGAGGAGAAAGACTGATACAGTAAATTAATCTTTCAAATAAAAATATGTAAACGGTTAAAAAAAACCCATCAAGTAAGGCAAGAAATTTCAATGTTTCTTAGATAACCATGCAACACAAGCAAAATACAGAGTGCCATCACAGACAATATACTTTGATATTAAAACACTAGAATTAGAATGTGTGCACCATTAAAAGTTCTTTCTGCAGTTGCAGTGATCCACTGGGTTTCTGCTCTCAGTTCATGCCTCATGAGAAATAATTTTCCCTCAAAAGACTCTTGACTGATGGAATACTAGGGATAGCCCTGTGGCTATGCGTTTTTCTCCTAGTAAGGGTAAATGTCAAACACGGGTGAACAATCTTCTTAAAACATCTTGGCTTGTACAGGTTTCTTCTATAATTATCTTTTCACAAAGCTGCATAAATATGCTTCACTTTAACATATTATTTAAATATTTCTAGGAAGATTTAGAAAGAAAAAGGTTTGGATAACTAAGTTGTAAATTTACAATTTTATTTATTTATTTAATTATTTTTTAAAAGATTTTATTTATTTATTTGACAGAGAGATACACAGCAAGAGAGGGAACACAAGCAGGGGGAGTGGGAGAGGGAGAAGAAGGTTTACCGCTGAGTAGGAAGCCTAATGCGGGGCTCGATCCCAGGACCCTGGGATCATGACCTGAGCCAAGGGCAGACGCTTAACGACTGAGCCACCCAGGTGCCCCAGAAATTACAATTTTAAAACTAGTATTTAACTCATACAGAATGCTTCCTTTATCAGCTAAAGGAATAAAGAGGTCACAAAACTGGCCTAATGGCAACTGGAACTATCTTCTTCAAAATACCATTTACTTGAAACGACAAAGAATTATAAAATGTCACCTTACCAAGAGTTGTCTGAGAGTTGGGATTCACATACTGATCCTTACTCCATTCAACCATACACTTCAAAATTGACACTAAGCATTCTAAACCTTTTTTCCTCAGGCTCAATTCCTACAAATAATTCATAAAAAGAATAAAAACAAAAAGATCTTTTAAGGAAACACACAGCTCTTCCTTGACCGAGTTTAAATTTGAAAATGCTTTTAAAGTTCTTACCTGAACATTACTCATACCAAGTTCTTGACTGCCTCGTCCTTGAGCAATTTTTGATAGATCATTTACTAGTCTTTCAAATATATTTGCTGCATTTAAATCACAGTCATAGTTTACATAAATATCCACTACACTCTGAGCATCTGTAACAATATAATATATTGCTTTTAACAAAAGGCATTAAGAATATTAGTATATTTTGGGCTTTTAAATCTTTTTTTTTAAGAGAGAGATTTTATTTATTTGTCAGACAGAGAGAGAGAGAGAGAACAAGTAGGGGGAGCGCCAGGCAGAGGGAGAGGGAGAAGCAGGCTCCCCACTGAGCAAGGAGCCTGATGCAGGACTCAATCCCAGGACCGAGATCATGACCTGAACCAAAGGCTGACGCTTAACTGACTGAGCTACCCAGGCATCCCTAAGAGATCTCTTAATAAGAAAAGATAATAAGGATAATTTCAAATACCTGCACAGATCCTTGTCAATGTCTGAATAACCATCCATTTGTGGTCAAATGAGCTGGTAGAAGTTTCCAAAATGTATAGGAAAATTTCTTTAAAGAACACCTGTGATTAGGGAAAAAATTCTGTTTAAAATATTATTTGTATATGTGATCATGTTTTAAATATCCCAAAGCTGTGGAGCAGAGATTAGGACCCAGGCTCCTCTGGAGTTCAACTTCTTTTGAGTTCCATCTCTGAAACGTCAGGACTAAGCTAACTTGGATGTGTGACTTCAACTAGCCCTTCTAGTAGGAGTACTGAACTTCACGTTGTTTTGTTTGCTATCACACAGCCACTACAAAGGAAACCTGCAAAGTACTCTGGGTAAAAATTCTGTGAACATATTTACAAAACCAATGTAACTCATACTTCATTTTTTTAATCTCCCAAAGATTATAAATTTATTCATCAGTTAGGTTTTTCAGCCATTATAATAGGTGCCCAATTTTCCTAGATTTAAATGTGCCTAATGCTCTAATCCACACAATAAAAATCATCTCTTACACTATGATATTTTTATAATTACGTAAGTGGAAATCTCTATCTGAAAACAACAAACTATTTCTTACTATTCTTTACACCAAATGATGTCAAATAAAAAGGAGTTACTCAACCTAATTAAATAAATTACAATTTAAGAGCTAAGAAAGAATTTTTAGATTGAAATTTATTTTGGAAAAGTGACTGATTTAAGAAGGGATGACTGAAAAAAGAAAACTAAAAGTCACACATTAACATTTAGGGAGCTTTGTGCTCCAGAAATGCATACTGATAATATGAGGTGACTAATGTCTTTCTCCCTCCTAATTGGGTGAGGTACCCTTGAAATGTGCTTTTCTTTCACAAAATCCAACACATTTCTATTACTTCCTTAAAGTCAGCAGCATTTCCTACAGAGCATAACTTTTTAAGAAGGTAGGGACCAAGTCTTTCTTCCTAAGCACTGTGTCCACACTGCCTAGCATACAGCAGCTGTTCAATAAATATTTATGATCACAGCTCCTAAGCATTGCCCCAAGGCACCCCTGCAGCCAACTTAGAGGGATGCCATGACAATTTCTGAGAGAAAATTCCAAAGAAATATATCTGTTGAATACCTCACAAGACTGCTCAGTTTCAACATTAGATCACACTACATTCCTTTCAGTGACATCATTATTTTCGCAAACCTGAGTTTTAGTGATTGCTACGCTAAAGGGCAGGGACCGCATGAAAGTCAATGAAGAATAGGAAATAAGGGTGGCAGTGTCCAAGTGGATTCCAAGGTCTGAGGAGTTGGGCAGTGTCCAAAAGGCACATACATTTTGGTAGTCAAGTAACTGTGACTACTTAAGAATGAAATAAAAACATCATTTTTAAAAATTTATCTGTATTATTTTTCTTCAAATGGAGATTACATTGCTTAAAGAGAAATATTTGTTAAGCTGTTTGGACCTAATTACTTAATAAATGGAACTGTTAGGTACTTCTTTTAGGACAAGTACGCTGTGAAAAGATCAGACACTCTAAAGGTACCATGAATCAAGAAAGTTTGCTGCCTTGCTAGGACAAGCAAGGGGCAGTGGACATGACACTTGCTGAGGCTAGAGAGCGTGGGTGGTTGCAGTGCTCCCCTGCCCCCAGGCTGAGGCTGGTGAGCACAAGTGGCTGTGGCATTCTCCTGCACCCAGCCTAAAGCCAATGGACACACAGACGAGGCACTCTGCCACAGCACTGTTGAAATACACAGGCACTGCCTTTTTGAAGTCTTAAGCCAGCAAGGGTGCCCCTTCCCCTACACTCTCCAGTTGTCTTGCTACAGCCAGTGAGCATGTGCAATCCACAGAGGAGATACCACTTGATTGCCTGGCCCTGGTGGCCAAGAGAGCTGGCATTCAGAGCAACACGGGATTGTAACAATCAGAAAGACTGTTCTTGGCATGCCACCATCCACAGGGCATTGCACAGACAGCAGACTGAAACACAACATGTCTTCCTATAAAAAAAGGTCTATTTATTTAGCCTGGAAGCTTCATCCTGAGAAACAGGCTTCAGGTCTCCCTCACATCTAGAGGTGAAAAAGGTGCTCCCCAGGAGTGAAAGCAGGGAGAAGCCATGTTTTGCGCCTCCCCTGGCCTTACTACAATTTGACAGGTCTTCCCAGAAAGGAGCTTATGCACTTCTCTGGAGTCAGGATTTTTGCCACTGTCACACAGGGGACATCTCCAGATCTCCAGTCTGGAGAACAGGACTGTATATATTTGCATTATTTAAAAGTTGTTGCCTGAGGGAGTGGCTTCCAAACAGCCTGAAACTAGGTGCTAAATGAGATTCCTCCCCATGGATCACTGACAGGACAGGGCACATCCTCAACAATAGGTGCATATCAAGAATAAATAAGGTGGTTTAGATAATCACAAAGGTTCCAGGGACAACCAAGAGCTAGGGCAAGGTTGAATGAGAAAGATCATCACCTGCACGAGGTCATTCCCTCAAGACAGAGAGGCAGCTGTTTCACCTGATACATAGAAACAGTCAAGCAAAATGAGGAAACTGAGAAATAGATTTCAAAAAAAAAAAAAAGACAAAAACCTCAGAAAAAGACCTTAATGATATGGAGATAAGTGATCTACATGAAAAAGAATTCAAAGTAATGGTCATAAGGATGCTCACAGAATGTGGTACAGGAATGGATGAGAACTTCAAGAAAGAAAATGAAATAGCAAAGAAGTCAAGAGCTGAGGAACACAATAACTGAACTGAAAAATACACTTGTGGGGTTCAACAGCAGACTGAATCAAATAGGTAAGGACCAGCGATCTACAAATCAGGGCAGAAGAACCCCCCAAATAGAGCAACAAAAAGGAAAAAGAATTTTTAAAAAATGAAGATCACTTAAGGAACAACATCAAGTGGAAGTACATTCTCATTATAGTGGTCCCTAAAGGAGAAGAGCAAGAGAAAGGGGCAGAAGACTTATCTGAAGAATTATTGTCTAGAAACTTCCCTGAGGGAAGGAAACAGACATCTAGGTCCAGGAAGCCCAAAGAGTTACAAATGAGATGAATTCAGAGAGGTCCACACCAAGACACATTATAATTAAAATGTCAAAAATTAAAGATACAGAGAAAATCTTAAAAGCAGCAAGAGAAAAACAACTAGTTGTGTACAAGGAAAAACCCATATGGCTATCAACAGATATGTGAGCACAAACTGTGTGGCCCAGAAGGGAGTGACAGGAGATATTCAAAGTGCTGAAAGGAAAAAACTTCCAACCAATAATACTCTAACCAGCAAGATTATCATTCAAATTTCAAGAAGAGAGCAAGTTTTCCAGAGAAGCAAAACCAAAGAAGTTCATTATAATTAAACTGTTTTTATAAGTAATATTAACAAGACTTCTTTCAGCTGAAAAGAAATGGCACTAATAAACAAGAAAATATACAAAAGTAAAAATCTCACTAGAAAGGGCACATTATAGTACAGGTAGTAAATTAATCACTTATAAAGCTACTAATAAAGTTAAAAAAAGTAAAATCAATTAAAACAATGATTAGTTAAGGGTTACATAAAAAATGTAAAAAGCGGTATCAAAAACATAAAATGGGGGAGGGAGTAAAAATGCAGCTTAGGAGTGTGTTCAAATTTAAGTTGTGATCAACTTAAACTGATCTATACATAGGAGGATAGATGTGAACCTCACCATATCCACAAACCAAAAACTTATAGTAAATATACAAACAAAATGAGAAAGGAATCTAACCATAACACTAAAAAAAGTCATCAAACCACAAAGGAAGAGAAAAAGAAAAAGGAACAGAACAGTCAGAAAAAAATTAACAAAATGGCAGTTAAGTATTTACCTATCAATAATTACTTCAAATGTAAATGAACTAAATGCCCCAATCAAAAGATATATAGTGGCTGGATGAATGAAAAAACAAGACACATCTATATACTTCCTACATGAGACTCGTTTCAGAAGTAAGGACATACACAGACTTGAAAGTGAAAGAATGGAAAAGATATTCCATGCAAAGGGAAATGAAAAGAAAGGTGGTATAGCTACACTCATATCAGACAAAAAAAGACTAAAACAAAGACAGTAATAAAAGACAAAGTGGGGCAGTAAATAACAATAAAGGGGTCAATCCAGCAAAAATTTAGAATACTTATATATGCACCATACATAGCCGCACTGAAATATATAAGGCAAATATTAACAGACCTAAAGGGAGAAACTGACAGCAGTAGAGTATGAAATTTCAATCCTCCACTTACATCAAGACAGAATATCATTAAGGAAACACTGGTCTTAAATAATACATTATACCAGATGGATTTAATAGATGTACAGGCAGCCCCTGAAAAACATGGGTTTGAACTATGCAGGCCCACTTATATGTGGATTTTTTTTTTCTTTCAAGTTTTTATTTAACTTCCAGTTAGCTAACATACAGTATAATATTAGTTTCAGGTGTAGAACTTAGTGATCCATCTCTTACCTACAACACCCAGTGCTCATCACTACTAGTGACCTCCTTAACCCATCACCCATTTAACCCATCCCCCTGCCCACCTCCCCTCCAGTAAACCTCAGTTTGTTCTCTATAGTTTGTTCCTGGTTTGCCTCTCTCTCTCTTTTCTTTCCCATATGTTCATCTGTTTTATTTCTTAAATTCCACATATGAGTAAAATCACATGGTATTTGTCTTTCTCTGACTTATTTTACCTCTCAAGCTCCGGGGTGCCTGGGTGGCTCAGTTGGTTAAGCACTTGCCTTCGGCTCAGGTCATGATCTCAGGGTCCTGGGATCAAGCCCCACGTCAAGCTCCTTGCTCAGCAGGGAGTCCCCTTCTACCTCTCCCTTTGCCCCTCCCCACCACTCATGTTCTCTCTCTTCCTATCTCAAATAAATAAATAAAATCTTAAAAACACACTTAAAAAAAATACTCTCAAGCTCCATCCTATGTGGATTTCTTTTGATAAATACAGTAACGCACTGTAAAGATATTTTCTCTTATGATTTTCTTAATGTTTTTTCTCTAGCTTACTTTATTGTAACACAGTATATCATGCATACAATATACAAAATATATGTTAATTGACTGTTATCAGTAAAGGCTTCCAGGCTACAGTAGGATATTAGTAGTTAAATTTTGGGGGAGTCAGATGGTTAACCTGGGTTTTTGACTAGGCAGGAGTTAAATGTCCCTACCCCTGTTTCATTCAAGCGTTAACAGTATACAGAACCCAAAAACAGAATATACACCCTTCTTAAATGCACATGAAACACTCTCCAGGACAGATCACATTTTAGACCACAAAACAAGTCTCAATAAATTCAAGAAGACTGAAATCATATCAAACACCTTTTTCAAACACAATGGTTTAATATTAGAAATTACAAGAAGAAAAACTGAAAAACTACAAGTGGAGATTAAACAACACACTAATGAACAACTGAGTCACAGGAGAAGTCAAAAACTACCTTGAGATGAATGAAAACAAATACAACATACCAAAATCTATAGGATGCAGCCAAAGCGGTCCTAAGAGGGGAATCACTGCAATACAAGCCTACTTCAACAAACAAGAGAAATCTCAAATGAGTAACTTAACTTTACATCTAAAGGAATTAAAAAATAGAATACAAGGAACTAAACATAGGAAGGAAATAAGATCAGAGTGTAAATAAATGAGAGAGAGACTAAAAAGACAACAGAAAAGATGAATAAACAAAGAGATGATTCTCTGGAAAGATACACACACTGACAAACCTTCAGGCTGACTCACCAAGAAAAAAGTGACAGGGCTCAAACAAAGTCAGAAATGAAATAGGAGGTTACAGCTAATTCCACAGATATACAAAAGATCACAAAAGACTACTATGAACAATTATATACCAACAAATGGGACAACTTAGAAGAAATGGATGAATTCCTAGAAACATACAATGTTACAAGAATGAATCAGGAAGAGATAGAAAATCTGAATAGACCAATTACTAGTAAGGAGATTAAATCAGTAATCAGTCTCTTCAATCACTGGTCCTGGGCAAACTGGATAGCTACATGTGAAATGATGAAACTGAACCACTATCTTACACCATGTACAAAAATGAACTCAAAATGGATTAAAGACTTGAATGTAAGACCATAAAAAACTCCTAGAAGAAAACATAGGCAGTAAGCTTGTTGACATAAGCCTTAGTGATGTCTTTTTGGTTCTGATTCCAAAGGCAAGCGAAACAAAAGCATAAGTAAACACATGGGACTACATCAAACTAAACAGCTTCTGCACAGCAAAGGAAACCATTAATGAAATGAAAAGGCAACCTACTAAATAGAAGACATCTGCAAATCATATATTTAACAAGGGGTTAATATCTAAAATATATAAAGAACTTACACAACTCAATAGCAAAAAAACAAAAAAAAATCAATTAAAAAAACCGGCAGAGGTTATGAATAGACATTTTTCCAAAGGAGACACATACAGATGGCCAACAGGTACACGAAAAGATGCTCAACATCACTAATCATCAAGGAAATGCAAATCAAAGCCATAATGAGATATCACCTTACACTTGTGAGGATGGCTATTATCAAAAAGATAAGAAATAACAAGTGTTGATGAGGATGTAGAGAAAGGGGAACTCTTGTACACTATTGGTGGGGATGTAAACCGGTACAGCCACTATGGAAAAGAGTATGGAGGTTCCTCAAAAAATTAAAAATAAAGCTACTATATAATCTAGCAATTCCACTAATGGGTATCTATACAATGAAATGAAAACACTAATATGAAAAGATATATGATACCTATGTTTATTGCAGCATTATTTACTATAGACAAGATAACGGAAACAATCTCAAGTGTCCATGAATGGATAAAGAAGAAATGATATATATGTGCAATGCAACACTACTCAGCCATAGAAAAGAATTTAAATCTTGTCATTGCAACAACATGGATGAACCTTACAAGTATTATGCTAAGTGAAATAAGGAAGAGAAAGACAAATACTGCCATGATTTCATTTAAATTTGGAGTCCAAAAAACAAAAACAAAAGAAACAAAGCTCCGACTCAGAACCAGCTGGTGGCTGACAGAGGGGTGAGGATGTGGAGGTTCAAAATGGGTGCAGAGGATTAAGAGGTATAAACTGCCAGTTGTAAGTCATGGGGATGTAATACACAGCATGGGGAATATAGTTAATAATCTTGAATTAACTTTGTAAGATAACAGATGGTAACTAGATTTATTGCAGTGATCATCCTGTAATGTACAGAAATGTTGAATCCCTATGTTGTACACCTGATACTAATATAATACTGTTAACATCAGTTATACTAAACAAACAAAAAAGAAAGTTTAGAACTCTCCAAATTGTGGACTAAATAAAACCCCTAGATTTGGAGAAAGAGAAAAATAAAAACTTTAGCTACTCTCTATGAGTTATCAAATTATACTAGGCAAGCAATAGCCTACAATTGTAATTTAAGACATCATGCCCATCGACAGGGGCTCTAAAAAAACATCAAAATTTTAAAGATTTATAGAGCACCTAAAATGTAATGTGTGTAGAGTAATAGTAATATCATAGACACTTCACAAATATTTTCTTGAAAAGTTGTGCATTAACTATTTTCTGATATAGGCATGTAAGTTAATGTCTATGGAAAATCATATTATCGAAACTCTGAAGTGAATATTCTCATAAAATGAACATTCATGTAATAACAATCTCAACACTACTTTGCAAATTTAGGTATTTATATGTCGGCTTTGCTTTCTCCAACTAGAACACAGCTTATCGTGCATTTGAATATGTGTAGTATTTTCAAAAGCAATCTACACTTGTCTTGTTTGATCCTCAATCTCTCCATAAGGGACAATGGAGAGCAAAATAAACCTGCTCTCTTTAAGCATACAGAACAATATTACAACAATTTTGTAATGAGAATATACCATCTGAGGACAAAGGAAATTTCTTACCAGTATTCCCTTTAAATTTGTGTTTCCAAAAGTTTTGTACATCAAATTTAATCTACAAAAATAGTAATCCCAACTTTAATGATTTTTGTGATACTTGGTTCCCTAAGAATTTATATTTCACAGTCTACTAAACAGTACTTAAAGAAGTTGAGTGTCAGTGTTCAGAAATCTCTAAGTAAATGAATGTAGTCTTCTAAAATTATCTAATAGCAATTTAAACGCTTCATCATCACATGAAAGACTTTTGGGTTAGTAAGGAAGCAAAAGTTCCAAAAGTTTTTTTAAATCTCTTTTAACTGTACTTCCTGAAAATAATGGGAAAAAAGTTATCAAAAAATAGCAACTGTTCCTAGTTAAATGCCTTCCATTATTTTGACAGACATAAGACAAACTAAAATTTGACAATATATATGTACCAGAAATTGTTTCTTGTTCAGAATTTGGCCCCAATTTAAAAACCTTTCACTTAAAATACCAGGGCCTTATTCTGTCTTATTCCCATAATATTCCATGTGAATTTTAATAGATACTGTAGAACATTAGTAATAAAGTATATGATTGTTCCACCCACCTCAAATCTCTAGGAAATGATAATTTATCATTTGCACATTAGAAAAATAATACAAAGCAAAAATTAAAATTTCAAACTCCTAAAATATAACACTAAAAATATAATCCTTCTTAATAGCCTCTTTAAAGTGCCCAAAACTTAGATGGCTTAAAACCGTGTGAAGTATATATAGAACTTTCTTTTAAGATAACCAAATTCACTATGACATACCATACAAACAACGGCAAAATTATTGTGAGGACTGAATTACCTCAAGACATCTAGAATCATCAATTCAACCAGTATAAATTCCCTGAAGGCAGGGGCTGTGTCTTAATTTGATTTTGTTTTCTTAATGTTTACCCAGTGCTTAGTACTTCATAAGCACATGCTAGTTGAATGAGTAAATGAAAAAAAAGGAGCACGGTTCACCCCTGAACAATGTGAGGGTTAGGGGACTGATCCCAGCACAGCTGAAAATCCACATATAACTTTGGCTCTCCAAACGCTTAACTACTAATAGGCTACGAGCCTACTGACAACATAAACATTCAACTAACTATTTTGTACATTACATGTATTATATGCTGTATTCTTACAATCAAGTAAACTAAAGAAAAAAAAAGAAAATACACTTACAGTACTGTATCTACACTTATTGAAAAAAAATCCACATGTAAGTGGGCCTACTCAGTTCAAAGCAGTATTGTTTAAGGGTCAGCTGTACATGACAATTCACAAATATTATTTCACATTCTGAAAAATTTTCTAGGGGATTAATAATCTGATTTAAAACATGAAACAAATGAAATACCCAAAAATGCAGAACATACCTCAATTTGCATCTTCAGATGTGTCTTGAAGTTTGACAACAAAGTGAGAAATATGGAAAGAGAAAGCTCAAAAACCTCTGGAACAGATGACACTCCATTTTTTGAGAGTGCAACACAGAGATACTGCTTAATAGCATTAATAAACATCTCATTTGTCCTGAAAACAGGTCCTGCATTCTGCAGAATGGATAGAAGTAACTGCAATGAAAGAATCTTGGATCGTAACTCATGAGACCTAAAATGTAAAAAAGAAGGCACAGTATATGGACATATTTAGCATTATGGTAATAAAAGGCTGTTCCAAAGATATTTCCTGGTACCACAAAATTTCACAAACTTTTAAATGGAGAGGAACAGAAAACTCGACCACATAAAGTACAGTACATGAATAAGCTTTGCCACTAGTAATGGGTAGTTCCACTTATGATCTCAAGTACCACATAATTTCACAAACTTTTTATATGGAAAAGCAATCATTCACACATATTTAAAATCAAGCTACTGTTCCTTTGGACACTAAAGATTTATTCCTTGTTCTTTTCTTTCACAAGCATATTTCACCTTTTAGAAATCATCATAATCTTCCCAGATTATATGCCATATTTAGTATATGTATATATATACATATACATAGTATATAATATTTAATAGTTTAGTATATAATGTACTTTTTCCCTACGTATGCTACTCAAAAACCCTAAACAAAATTAAAAGTTTTGGTTGCATGAACAAGTTGTAGGACTACTTCAAGCTTATTTTTTCAATAACCATTTAAAGTTCTTTTCTTTTTTGAAATACAGAGGCTTTTAGAACACTTATATCTCTTAATAGTTTACCCATTTATTCTATGTATTTTAATAATGAAAAGCAAAAAAACTCCCTTTCAGCTTAAATTTTCACTTTTTTTCTGATCAATATACTATGCTATATTCTGATCAGTATCTAGCATTGTAATTATCAGATTTCACAACACATAATTTTTCTCCCATTGACAGGCCTCTTAAGGCCAACAGACCAAGAAGACTGGATCCCATGCAACTTTTCAAATACAGAACACACTTACATGCTCTAGGAGCTAATTCTTTTATTTTTTCCAAATGCTGTATCAGTTACATTCACACCACAGATAATTAAGTTTACTTAACTGTTCCTGATTTCTACCTTAAAAATTTTATGGTTTTTAAGGGTCGAGTATTTCAAGAACCTAAGAAACTCTAACAAGAAATATTTAATTTCATGTAAATGGGAATCACAAAAATATTACCATCTTTGAAATAAAACTGGAACCAATAATATCATTACTTGCTGCTACATATCAACTTTCCAAGATGGCTATGTGCAGCAAATATAGTTATTAACAAAGGGGAAAAAAAGCTTAAATCAAGTTAGAAACAGTACGAGGTTAGATTATGAATAGCCCGGAAAATATGGTATGGGTTAAGTATCTCCCCTTCATATTGAAGCCTTCCAAGGCTTTTATATTACGACTATTTCCTAGTCTAGCTAATTTATTATCTTTTCTGCTCTATTCCAGTAGTTATTACAACCTGCAGCTTACTGTTATCTAACACATAAATTTTTGTGATAGGTTTTATTTTTGTATCCCCAGCTCAATATAACTCATGGATTTATTCATGTACCCATCTAAACATTTATTAAGTACCTACTATCTATAAAGCATTAATTAATGAAGAAATGATCAAATGATTGTCTTATGACACAATCAAGTACACTTTTATAAAGGCAAAAGAAGCTAGAAATTTCAGGCCCGCAGATTTTCACGGGGTAGTTTCAAATTATAATTCAAGCTTAACGAACATTTCCTGGAACATCATCTTAGCAAGATCACAAAATATCAAGAGAAGAAAGGCAAAAAAGAAAATTATGTAACTACAAGTCATTAATTTTGGGGGAAAAAATCATGTAAGATAGGAACCACATATTTTCTTTTGGAAAATGAACAGTTTCTAGGGGTGGAAAATTTGATTTCTTCTGTATTCAATTATTTATTTATTTATTTATTTGAGAGAGAGAGCGAGAGTGAGAAAGAGAGCACAAGAGGGGGTAGGGTTAGAGGGAGAAGCAGACTCCCCGCCGAGCAGGGAGCCCGATGTGGGACTCGATCCCGATCCCGGGACTCCGGGATCATGACCTGAGCCGAAGGCAGTCGCTTAACCAACTGAGCCACCCAGGCGCCCCTCTTCTGTATTCAATTCTAATGTTTAATGTTCCTGATGACCAAAAAGGTCTTTTTTATGTTCAAACAAAATTTCCTAATATTTGGTTTAAGTCTACTGAGTAGGAGGATAATTAATTTACATTATTCCTCATAAGAATCCTTTGTAATATTAAAGATTGCAGCTCTCCAAAAATAAGAATCCTTTCTAATATTAAAGATTGAAGCTCTCCAAAACTAGATTACTCTTTATATAGTGCTAAAGGAAAGCCCCCTGCCATAGAGTACTCCTTAAAGTCATGTATTTTCTTTTGTTTTCTTTTCATTTTGGGCACTTTAAGGAATTCTTTTTCTGCTTATTAATATTTTTTCAAATCACATTTTTAAACAGTTGATTTGGAAAAGTAAACATCTGAGACTTTTAGGGTTAATAACATTTTTAAATCATGGCAAAGATGGCCTTCAGCAATAACACTAAATTCTTAAGTTATTTCCACCTTCAACAATTCGGAATGAGATGGTTATTTTTCCTGTCATAGTGAAAATAAGAAATTGAAAAAATTTTGAATATATTCTTATTACACAGGGTATAGTCAACTTTATATTGCAATCTGAACAACCTTCATCCTTTTTCTGTAGAGTTTATATTTTCAAAATAAAGAAAAATCAGTGTTATATTTCTGACTCTCAGGATTTGGGCCTAAAAAGATTTTAGAATTTTAGGTTTAGGGCTTAAAAGATGTTTCTCATTGAATCAGTACAATGTGACAAAATAAAACTATAGAAAATAGAACAAATGTGGTTTCCCAAAACTTACAAAGTTTTTCTTTTCTCCCCAAACTTAATAAAGTTTTTATTGTAACTGTCTCTCGTCTTTCTTCTTAGGTGACATTTAGAAACCGGAATGCTCTAGAGTTTTTAAAAAATGAAGTAGTGCTTACATTTTCCCCCTATTTCAATATCCTTTTCACCAAGCCGCTCAGGCCAAGCCACCTTTAAGATTTCTTTCTCCAGAAAGTTCTCCTAAATTGTCATGCTGTATTACACCATGCTGCAACATTAGGGAGGCATGGCTCTCCAATAGTGCCCAAACTCAGTCTCAAGCAAGAATTAGTTACATTTGACTCATATGAAATGAAAGATATTTGGTGACTTATGACTTACAAAAATGGCACTTTCCTACAGTTTAAACTAATATATTTGACAGGAATCAGACAAGTGACTCCTATCTCAAAGTACTTCCTGCTTCCCACAGAGGAAGGTATCACATCAGAGCATTTTTCAGACCTTAATGAATATGCAGTATCTTTCGTTATAAATTTTAGAATTCATTTCTCTTAGGTTTTATTACCTTTCAACTGGTAGCTTTCAGAAACCTAGCATGAGGCTAAATGTAACAGAGCTACACTTACTCCAAAGTTACTCATGATACTGAAATAAGAATTCTTTCAATTGTTCAACCAGGCACAATTCTCTAATATTGTTGGTATGCTTTGGGAAACAGTGTAAGGTATCTAGCAATTTTCGAACTATTTTTCAAATACATTTTTTAAAAAGCAAAATAACCCTAAAATATATTTTTGAGAGTTCTATGGGGCAAGAAGAACAAAAGAAAATCCAAAGACTACCTTATAGTAAGTAAGTTTCAAGCTTAAAAAACTATTTGTCAAGCAGAATAGGTAATGACTTACTTTGGATCTGGTGGTCCATCTGACAGTGGTTTCATGGACAGTTTACACAATGACCTGAATACTAGAAAGGCATCCTTTTGTAAAATGTGGGAAAACTTAGCACCAGGTGAAGGTCCTGAAGAATTTCCAGATTCCTAAACAAGTTAACATACCATGTAAATAAAGACATTTGCCAGTGTAAAATCATGTCAACCTTCCATATATTTTATTCAGTTCAGTAATTAATGGAGGGGGTTCTGTTGGAGGAGAAACCTGATGAGGAATTTGCCACACTGTTTCTCTTTAATCTGACATACCACTCTCCTCCCCAGCAATAAATTAATACCTTAAAAAAGAAATTCTTTTTTTTAAATAAAGATTTTTATTTATTTAACAGAGGAAGAAAGAGAGAGAGCACAAATGGGGGAGTGGCAGAGGGAGATGGAGAAGCAGATTCCCCGCTGAGCAGGGAGCCCAATGCAGGGCTCGATCCCAGGACCCCAGGATCATCACCTGAGCCGAAGGCAGAAGCTCAACTGACTGTGCCACCCAGGCACCCCAAAAAATAAGTTCTTTAAAAATATTCTCTCTTTGCCACCAAAAAAAACTCTTGAAATTTATCCAGTTCATACCATTACAAACAAAATCTAGCACATCATGCCCTGACAAGGTATCAATAGCGGGGAGCATAGAGAAGATGTGAACATATATGAAACAGCTTAGAGTTGGCAAGTTAACTATCAATATATTCAGGGAATAAACTGCTTTGATTTATATCAATAAGAAAAACCCAAGTTTTTATTTTCCCAAATTATAATTAGCCAGCAGATCAACTAGATATATTCACCACAAGGTGCTGGTAGCCTATAAATCTGTAATATTAACTGGATACCCCCTGCCCCCCATTTATACCTGAGTATCACTGGAAGAGACAGACAATCTGTCATCAGGTAAAGACGGTGTATATGCAACAGAAATTGGTGTTCCTGGAATTCCATTTGCTTGAATATTTTCACTGTCGCTACCATCCTCTATACTTCCAATGTTGCCATCTGCACTTGCATTTATAGTAGTTCTTTCTCCCATATCTAAAATGGTAAGAATAAAAAAACATGCAAATATATCTGACTTAACTGAAGTGTACTGAAAAAGCATAAAGAGTATTTAAAACGCAACAGTGGCAAAAAAGCAATGTGGAACAGTATGTATTGGCACCATTTAAAGGTTAGCATACTTAGTAGTAAGTATGCATTTGGAATACATCCAAATATAATCCTTAAGTAGCTCTAGCTAGGAAACACACTCAGCTGATCAAAGGCTAACTGGTATGTGCCCAAACAGAAGCTTTCTTTTGGTCTATATTATCATTTACTAAACTTGGTTCTAATGAATGCTAATGCCTTAAGATGTTAACAGAGATTCTTAAAAAAAAATCCCATTATCAAGTAAGTTAGAGATATGCTGGGAAATAGCTTTCTTTATTACAGTTTTTAATTTGCTCTCTAAAGGGAATATATAATACGCAGTGTTTCCAAAATTTATTTTACCATGAGCCCCTCTTCCTCTTTTTAGAATACCTATTAATAACTCTAATAATATATTCTTAAGAACACAGATATGGGAAAAATGGCTACACCCCTGAGTATTTTTCAGCATGTCACTCTTGAGTAATCATACTTTTAATTAATATGAACAGAAATAAATGACTTCCAGTAGAACAAAGAGATAATGCAAATAATATCTAGTTTCATAACTATTCTAGGTGTAATGTATGTTATTTAAAAAAAGAAATACATACTTATCTGTGGCCATAACTCAGCCATCTGGCAGAAAATTGCTCATTTCACGCTACCAATTAAAAGAGAACTATAAGCAAAGGAAACATACTATACTATAACAGATTTTGGAATATGAAAGACCTGTGTTTCAATCATGTCTCCCCATTTAACTGGATAATTTATTTCATCTTTCTTTGCCTCAGTTTCTTCATCAGCAACAAAGATAATAATGTTCGTGAGGAATCACCAAAACACACATACCCTACATACGCCCAATACATAAAGAACACAACTAATTCTAAATCAGTGGTAGCTATTATTTTGTCTATAACTGATAACATGTGCCCAATTTTTGGCTAATTCAGTAATGAAAAGAGTATATCTGATGTCCCAACTCTGAAGCTGCTTTCTGCTCTCCCAATTAGAACACCCTGGATAGTTTAAACTGGATGATTTCAAAGTACGTTTTACAATTAACAACTGGTACATGAAAAAGATATTCATTGATAAAATATATTTGGGAAACTCTGCATTACACAAAACAGTTCTCCTAGTGGACCTTTTGGATCTTAACATGCTAATATTAGACATGCTTAATACTATTACAACTTTTAATATATATATAATATGCATAATATATATGTATGTATTAATGTGCTAAATACCGCTACAGCTTTTAAAAGACATATTATTTATTATATATATCTTACATATATAAAAATGTTTAATATGCAAAGAGTTCTCTGGAAGAAGTCATAAAAAATTTAATAATGATTATCAGAAAATGATAACTGTCCTCAAAGCACTTATTCCATTTTCTGTCAATACCCAATTACATCCCCTCCCACTGCCCCTCCTCCACCTTCCCTTAACAAACAAACAAACAAATTACCTACTTAGCTAAGAAGTAGGTAACTTAACATAGCCTACTTCAGTCTCCCTTGTCCCACCATAAAGTTCCCTGACATCAACAATAATCTTTCTCTTTCCTCTCATTTCAGGGGAAAAAATATTCCTTTGTACTTCTAAAGTGAACTATTCATTCACCCTCAAACCCATCTCTTCTTGCATTCATTAATATCTTCCCCCAACTCAAGTTTTTTCTTGCAACATTACATTTTCAATTTCACGTATATGACTGATCTTCTCCAATACTTATTAACATATTCAAATCTTTTCACTGAAAAAAAAATCTTCCTTCAACTCTTGCTACACTTCTGCTACTGTCCACTTTTATCCTTTTTTCACATTTCTGAGAGGAATAATCAATATTCATTGATGATACTTTCCTTCCTCCCTTCCTAGGAAATTTTTCAAAAGAACTGAAAACATTCTTCACTTTACTGCTTCCTACAAGTTAACTTAAATCTCTCAATTTTCTCATTGTAAAAAAGGAAATAGTAACAGCACCTAAATATCCCAGTGTTTGGGGAGGATTAATTTAATAAATGTAAGTAAAGCACATAAAATCATTTGGGATACACAGAAAGTACTTAATAGAGTTAGATATTATTATTCTCTATGTCTTCTCCTCTAATTCTCCCTCTCTAATTGTCTCCTAAATATAAGTGCAGACTTCTGTTTTCAAGGTGGTAAATTGAGTCCACTAAAAATTAACTTCTCCTTTGATGAATCCCATTGAAATTACTAGGAAAAATATAAATAAACAAGAGACAAATGTAATGTTTTTAACATTACTGCTATATTTACCAGTAAGTTTTCATAATTGCTGATCTGGTATTTTTCAATGGTATGAAAAAATTCAAGTTAATCCTGACTTAAAAAACAAAACTAAAATCACATCCAGGCACACACACACTCATATACTTAATTTGATAGAGTATTCTCCAAAAACCAACAGCAATTATCAAACTTACTGGTGAAATACAACAGTAATGTTAAAAACAAAATGAGGTTCCTTGCCATCATTAACACTATTCAATATTTTCTAGAGGTTCAAACAAATGTTCCGTAACAGAAACAAAAGAACAAAAATGAGGAATAAATACTGTAAAAGAACAAAGACAAAATACATTATTCACCTAGAAAAACCCAAGATAATGAAATAAAGTTTTAGAAACAATATGAGTTTAGAAAGTGAATAACTACGAGATAAATATGGAAAAATGACGGTTTTTCTATATTCCAATTAAATTAGGAAGTGGGAGCTTTTTGTGGCCATTGCTGAAGTGCCAGCAACCAAAATGAAGTTCAATCCCTTTGTGACTTCTGACCAGAGCAAGAAGAGTAAAAGGTATTTCAATGCACCTTCCCACATTCACAGGAAGATGATGTCTTCCCTCCTTTCCAAAAAGCTGAGACAGAAGTACAACATTCAATCCATGCCCATTCAAAAGGATGCTGAAGTACAATTTGTGTGAGGATACCACAAAGGTCAGCAAACTGACAAAGTAGTGCAGGTTTACAGGAAGAAATACATCATCTACACTGAATAAGTACCACGAGACAAGGCTCATGGTACAACTGTCCATGTGGGCATTCACCCTAGCAACGTGGTCAGCACGAGACTAACACTGGACAGTAGTTAGGTAGAAAAGGAAAAAGGGCAAATATAAGGCAGAAACAATTGAGAAGATGCAGGAATAAAGTAATTTTATATACAACGTTAAATGAAAACTGTAAAAATTAAAAAAAAATAAATTAGGAAGTGAGAAAAAAAGAGTCATCCAAAATACTACCGAAACTAAAACAAAAAACATAGAAATAATTAAACAGGAAATGTGCAAGAGCAAAAGGAAGAAAACAATGAAATTTTACTGAGTGACATAAAAGATCTGACTGAATGAACTTATACTTCTGGATTAGAAGGTTCAATACTTCAAATAAGATATATCTCCCAAAGTTAACTTATAAACACAATACAATTCTAATCACTAAATAAACCTTTTTTTTTTTTTTAACTTAATAAACTGGTTCTAAAGTCATGTAGAAGAATACATTTAATAGATGTTTAAAAGAATTGGCAGGGGTGGGGGGACTTGCACTACAAAGATCAAAGTATACTATAAAATTAAAATATTTTAAACAATTCAACACTGGATACAATAAATAGCTCAATGTTACTGTACAGAAAACTCAAACAGAATCACGTAGGATAAAACTGGCATTTCAAATTAATTGGGAAAGGATGGATTCTATATAACCATTTCAGAGGAATTAAAGATCTAAATTCAAAAAATAAAAACAAAAGTATTAGAAAAATGTATGGCAGAATATTTCTGTAATTTTAGGGTGGTAAAATCCATCCTAAGCAAGGCAAAAACAGAATTCACGAAAAAAAGGACAATAATTATTACATTTTCTATGTGTGGTCAAATATCTGCTCAGAACAATAACATATGCAAAGGCTAAACAAAATGAAAACAAAACAAAGACTGACTAGAAAAAAATATTTACAATACACTGAATAAGGGCTAATTTCTTGATGTGAATAAACCATGAAATAAGAACAAAAAAACCCAAAAAAGGAAAAACAGGCAAAAGTCATGAATAGGCAATTCAGAAAGTATAAATAGCCTATAGATATTCAGCTGGACCAAGAAACTGCTAATATTTACCTACAAAAATAATGAATGCTCCCTGCAAGTGGTCAAAGAAACACAAATTACAACAGTAAGATATAATCCATCTAGTAAAGTGATATTAAACAAAGCAGATTATGTAAATTTAAATGCCCATATGCCTTGATCAAAGTATTTTTTTAAAGTATTCCTTTTTTATAAATTTATCCTAAAGTGTTAAAAGATATCTATAACAAGAATGCTCCTCAGGGCGCCTGGGTGGCTCAGTCGGTTAAGCGTCTGCCTTCAGCTCAGGTCATGATCCCAGGGTCCTGGGATCGAGTCCCGCATCGGGCTCCCTGCTCGGCGGGGAGTCTGCTTCTCCCTCTCCCACTCCCCCTGCTTGTGTTCCCGCTCTCGCCGTGTCTCTCTCAGTCAAATAAATAAATAAAAATCTTTAAAAAAAAAAAAAAAAAAGAATGCTCCTCAGAGCAGAGTTTATAAAAAAGCAAAAACTTGGAAATAATCTAAATGTTAGCATTAATAGGAGATTATTTAAATAAATTATGGACCATCTATGTAATGAATTAGAAACTGACATAAAATGGGAACTACAGAATGTGAAAGAGCAGATTATAAAACAGTAAGTGTAGTATGTTCCCATTTAGATTTATGTATACAGGCATTCATGAACAGTATTTTTTAAAAAAAATTTTGCAGAGCAAAAATACACCATATCAAAATTAAAAGACTTGGGCGAATAATAAACTGAGAGAAAATATTTGTAAA